CTCTTGAGATATTTTGAGGATGGTGGTCCAGTATTAGCAGTGAGATTAACTGATGTGTTAGGTGGAATTCTGGAACTGGACGCGATTCCATCTGACTGATCTCAATCACTGATTGTACCAGTCTATAAGAAAGGACAAAAGTCCTCTTGTGGCAATCACAGAGGAATCAGTTTGACTAATATAGTGTCTAAAATATTAGCTTCAATAATACTTCGACGCCTGACTAAAGCTCGCGAAGAGCAGACTAGAGAAAAACAGACTGGTTTTCGACATGGGTGTGGTTGTATAGACCAGACATTCACACTACGTCAGGTTCTAGAGCACAGACACACGTCCTCCATGCAACACGTGTTACGTATGCCCAACTACCGACCGCCTTAACGTGCGATGTTCAGTGGTGTAAGAGTAGGTTCGAAGAAAGCTAGGGGCGGCCAGACCAAAACATGGCACAAGTCCATGAAGTCACTGACAAGTGGACTGTGCCATATTGGCAGGACTACTTATAACACATCAGGCAATTTCGAACGGCCGATATCTTTAATAATCTCGGATATATTCAGTATGTCACTTGTTCAGGGTTGGTTATGTCGGAACTAGACGGATGAAATTGTCTCTTTAGTAAATAAAACATCATCAAGTCAACTTCCATTAAACCACGAACTTTTCAGCCTCACCACTGTCGTGGTTGAAATACTTAAGACGGTAACAATAAAACTGAGAGAAATTTCGGAAACCAAAAATAAAGAACAAAATACACCGAGTTATCCGTTTCTGGAACCTGTTGCCCGAACAATTAGTGTCCATCCATTCAATTGACTCATTGAAAAGGAAATTAGACACTCACAGCAACGTACCGGAAAATGGCTAAGGCAGAATATAGGTCTTCTGCTTCCAATACAAAATTCTGAATCCAATGTCTCACTTAATCTACTATCAGAAAAGTGCCTACACTTTTAGATGTTGCTTTTAAAATTCATCAGATACATAACATAAGGATAAATGATCATAAGTTACTTATCTTGAGGGACTTCTGTCTCCAACGTACTAAATGTGGGTTAGTGGTTTAGTTGAGAGTAGTGTTCCCAAATGTTATCACAATACAGCGCAAAATCACCTACTAAAGTAAATAAATATCCGAAAGGGAAGTTCAGCCATAAAGTGATTTTTATTTCGCAACAAAAAGACCTTTTAAACAACAAGGTCCTCAAGCTGAGCGTACCCGAAAACCTGGGAAAACAATCACGGTTCGTGGTGATTCTCTCATTATCATAAACCTTAAAGACAGCCCTAACCTTCCCCTCAGCTTGCAGGACAAAAATGACAGGACGCTCTTGGAAGAATTAAACAAGATGCTTGAATTTCCCAAAATAGAGCCTCTGACAGCCTCACGACCCACTTAAGAAAAGAAATCCAAGCGTCAAATTCACCCAAGACTACTTCATGTGACGCTACCGACGTAGAGGACATCTCACCGGCTAGTTATTTACTGAAATGAGATGAGAATATAAGAATGCTATCTGATGAACCGTATTCTGAGCTCAATCTCATCCGGAAGATTTCTAAGGAATCGCACGAGAGGTCTTTCCGCGGAAGAAATATCAATGTGCAAGGTGTATCGGAAAATAATTAATCCGACCACGCAAACTGTAATATTTGGGAGTGGAAGTTCATCAAGCAGTCTTGAAGCTCAAAAATATATTGGCTCAACAAGCAACGAGACTAGCCAAGAACGAAGGGGATTTTAGACCCCGGCCGATGAAGATTATCTTTTGATCCCACCACATGGCGGCTGCAACCCACGAAGCATTTTTTGCCAACAGAAGCCGGCTGCCAAGTCGAATACATATGTATCCAGCTAGAACACATGATCTAGGATCAAGCACAAAGGCAAGTTGTAGCTGACTATTCCACTTTTGGACTGTCAAGAACACAGAAGAAGCGTGGAAGGGATAGGATCTACCAACTGCGAAAGTCTTGTGTAGACAGGTTACCCGTCCACTCACATAACGCCCATACAGATAAACAGGACCGGGAAGCGCATGCGTTTCAAATTGAAGGCACAAACAGCGCCGCGAGTTTACCTAATAAAGTGGATGAGCTATGTGAACTCAGTAATGCTAAGAATGCTCATCTGAAACATGGATATCTTCTCAATTTACGGACCAGGAGCTAGCAGTACCCGGGATGCCTTTGTTTCTCAATAAAGGAAAAACGGGAATTGTGAGTGGAGTGGTCTTATTCTTACGAACTTACCTACAGGTACATCTAGTACACAACCAAGAGTTCATCAGTCTTGATGGCTCCATATGGTCCTCAGTAAGATTATCTACAAACTCGAGGTGTCTAGTTGGAGTCATCTACTGGAAGCATATTGACGACATCGAGTACGAGAATCGTATGCTGGAAGGATTATCCTGCTCTAATCGTCTCGGATTCACCAATATTCTGACTCTAGGGGACTTCAATCTCCTCAAAGTCGCTTTGGTGGAACATACGTACATTGGTGGTGAAAACTTAACTGAAGCTCTGTTCCTCAACCTCACTGAAGATCTGAGATTATTTGAAAACGTGAAATCGGCAACTCGTTGGAGAAACAGTCGGACATTGTCGTGGTTATTTACAAACGGAGAATTCCTAAATTACAACCTCTCAGTCCTGGCTCTCTTGAGGAAAAGCTTTCACGTCAACATGAGCTGGAATTTCAAATGGTCGAATGTGTCAGCTTTACAAGACAATCTACAGGAGGTGGATTGGGATGTTCACCCTCAACTTGATGTGGATGCTAATTGAGACTTCCTACTGCACATGATCTTATGTGCTACAAAGTAGTCTGCTCCTCAAATGGTCCACAAAATCTACTAGCAACCTACAGTCATCAAGAACCCTACTCTTCTTTTGCTAGACCGCAAAAAGCACTATTGGGCAGAGTACGGAGGAACTGGAAACAAGAGCAAGGACAATACAACATACAGCATACACCATATAAGAAACTTATGCACAAATGCAATAAGAGAAGACGGGCTTCAGTACCAGATGAAGCTTATCGATAAATTTGCCTCCAATCCGAAGAGCTTATTCTGTCATGCAACCTCTCTTCGACAAATCAAAACTGGAGCTTCCTAACTGCTAGGTCCTAATAGCCCGACCAACAACGACGGTGACGCCGCTAACTTTCTGATCGAACAGGACTGTCAGACGTTTCAACCGAACCACAGTAACTATATGATGAATGCTTCATCTGTAACTGCACAGGACTTTCCAAAGTGAATCTGATCCCTTACTTGGTGCACAGGAATCTGCAACACCTAAATAAGACACTTCTCTTGGTCCGGATATGGTTCATTCTGCTATACTGAGGGAAGCTTCAATCTTGGCAACACCTCTTAGCGTGCTATTCTTGCACTCGCTAAGCCGAGACAAATTGCCTGAAATTTGGAATCTGGCTCATATCACATCAATTTTTGAAGACGGTTGACACAGCGAGCCTTCAAGCTTCCGACCGGTAGCTCTATACCCTCAAGAATTGTGGAGTCCCTGATATGCGACGGTATATACAACTATTTATTATCCTTAAACTTTTCACCCCAACAGCACGTTTTCAGAATTGGTCATTCTTGTATAACCAACCTGCTGACTGCGGTGAACATATGAACAACCATTCTTGATAGCAAGAGGAAGGTTGATGTAATTTACCTCCACTTCTCGAAAGCTTTTGATAGGGTCAACCATGTATGTCTTATTAGTAAGCTAAAACGATTAGGTTTCAAATCACCTCCGATTGGCTGACTCACTTCATATCTAAAAAATCGACGTTCTAAGGTCAGGGTTAATTTCACTTCCTCTCACGCAAGGAATGTCCTAGTGGAGTCCCTCATGATTCAGTACTGGAACCTCTTATTTTCTTGATTTATATAGACGATCTTCCATAATAGGTATCGTCTGACTTATTACTTTTCGCTGAAGACGTGAAACTTTGGAGAGAGATAATTAACCAAGAGGATATACTGGCACTTCGGGAGGATCTCACTCGGCTTCAAAGTTGGTAAAACGACAACGGATTTACCTTTAACATTTCAAAGTGTAAAGTAATTCATTTGAGACATGTTGCAGACTACAGCTACCATATAGGCAACTCCTCTCTAGAAGTATCCCAAGTTGAGAACGATTTATGAGTACTGGTGCCTCGCGATTTGTAGCCATACGCAAAGTGTGACAAAAATGCCTTTCGAGCAAACCTTGCACTGACCAGTTTAACGGAAGAACTTCCACATAATCTTCAACAGTTTTATCCGTCCCCATTTAGAGTACGGAAACATAGTATTCCATCTCTCATTCCAAAAGGATAAGAACACTCTAAAAGCAAGCCACGAAATCAGTTCGGGGACTCAAATTCAAGCTTTATGAACAGCGCATCTAATCACCGAAACTCTACCCATTGGAGTACAGGCCTCTTAGGGGTGATCTAATGGCTTACAGTATCCTTAAAACTTATTGACATCCTCCTAAATACTTATTCAAGCTTAGCTCCAACAAAAATCCAAGGATAACAACCAGAAACTGGTGACATAACTCAGCATAACGGACTGTAGACACAACCTGTACTTCTTGTGAGTAGTCAAATGCTGGAATTAGCTGTCGGCTGAGCTAGTCCAAGAGACTTCCTAAAAGTCCTTTAATAGGAAACTGGAGTTGTTCTTAAGGACTAAGGATAGTACCTTACTATGATCTACCAATTTCTTTTTCTTCTTTTATCGTTAATATATCTAGGTTCCTGCCTGGAGGTATTGGTGATTCATCGCTACTAGACACGGAAGCCCGTTAAGCGAAAGCTTCTTCTATTCCGTCCAAAACCATTTGAACCATTTGAATATGTCAAACTCCTACATTCTTACCTCTCATGTGTCAGACAATCTTATCGTCTGAGTGCTTTTTATATGCATCAAATGGACTTGCCTATTGAATGAGCATTTTTCAAAGGCAATGAGTGTTTGGCTTGAGTTATGTTTCGAAGGCACAGGCCTAGTGATACTAGCGCAGTTAAGTCTAGGAAAAAGTTTCTAAGCGAAAAAGAAAGTACTCATAAAATAAAGCACTTGAAAATTCTGATAGGTAGTGAATAAATTTGTTTTATTTAACCTATGTATCTTTCAGATACCCTACCAGATGATGAACTTCAACCATTTTTCGTTGAAAATTCGTCCCTAATATTCCTAGTGTTTAGTGATTGTTTCTTCAGTTTAGAGTGGGATGTCAAATTAAAGGGTATATTGTTGTTTTTTGGCATTTCAAATTCATAGGAAGCAGTAATTGCATTAAAGATTTGGAGGTAGTGCTTACAGTATTTGAGGTGGTATCTTTTTCTGAGTGATCTTATTTTCAGAAAGTACTGTTATTGTTGCCGGAACATATCCACCAAAGATGGCAGCATAACTGTATCAGTAGGTTTTCTGTGTTTTTAGTAACTCACTTCATCTAGTTGAAGTAATTGAAGATCTCCTGTACGAAAAGAATGCGCTCAATATCCGTAAAAGGGGAATCAGGCTATTTTTAATATGGTATCAAATACTTGGCTTAAATGCGACATCTGTCTGCCACAGACTTTTCTACAATCTGGTCCCTGAATTTGGCTCACTTATTGCAGAATATCAAAAGCGTGAAAAATGTGATCAACTCAAGCACAGTCATCTTCAGGCTAGAAAATTCTCGACGGATACACGTGGGCAAGTGATGCAAGAGTCAAGATCCTCGAATGTTGTTGCCCCGCGCGAACGCGTCGCACTCCTAACTGCCGCTGCTCTAGGAGAGGATGAATCGGTAAATGTTTTGATCTCTCCTCCTAAATTTGATAATTTTGTAGTCTGACGATAAATCCCTAGTCCTGCTTCGGGCACTTCTGCGTTTCCTTGTCTCAGAATCCTTCAAGGTCGAGTGGTCGCAACTTCGGTATGAGCAGCATTTAATGCAGCTATGGTTTCTGTTCGAAAAGTTAAAACATTCGTACCTCCCCGTTATTTTTCCATGGTAAGTGTTTTAGAATGTGAGTAATCTAATCTCATGTCTAACAGTTTATGATTATTGACCTAAAAACTTCCTACTCAATAGATCGTGCTATGCTCTGAGAAGTACTTATATCCTACAAGGCCGTTACGAATAAATGACATTCTTAGTTTATGGTTTTTCGATCATAGGTATCTTTGAAGTATTAGTCGTGTATTTTGGGACTACTGAGTAAGCAGTGATCGTGCTAGGAGTAGAGTAGTAGATAAGGATGGCGGATCGATTGAGGAGGTTGCAAGTCTTCACCAACTGAGTTGGTTGAAACATGTTGCATATGCTCGACCAATTCACACTTTGGTGGTCGATGCTTTGTACTGTAGGAGAAAGCTGGTGATGACCAAACCAAAACGTGGCATCAGTCCATAAAATTGCTGACAATCGAACTGGGCCGTGTTACTAGGTATAGACTACCTTGTTAGGGTCCGTGTGATTATCATAACCAGCGGTTAAAGAATTGAATAAATTAGCTGAAAATTGTTTGGGATGGCCCAGGTGCATCTGCTATTTTTCTTCCTTCAAATTCCGAGATTCCAACTTTTTGTCGTTTTCATTTCACTAATTTAAATTTTCTCAAATCGTATCTTCAATGCTTAATCTTTCCTATTACCACTGATACTGTTACTACCTCTACTATTTTGGCGTGACGTTTTTATCTTCGTACTAATTGATTATGGCGACTTGAATCGATGTACAAACGTACTAGGTCCTACGTTGTGGTTGACTGACAAGGCAGAACCGCCTGACATTACAATCAACCAGTCAGTTGCGAAGTAGAACCTTTCACATGCATGCATCGGTTCACTAAGTGTAATTCGGTGTTTGAAATGCTGCTAATTTGGTGGTTAATATCTTATTTGTGGAGCAAACACGATATCTAAACTAGCGACGAATCCGAATAACTTCACATCAAGGATACGTTTAATGAAGTCTCCTAGTTCTTGGTCGATCACTGTATTTGAAGTTTTATTCGCAAATTATATAGCCAGTAGCCATAAGTCTTTTACATCCAAAATTACCTGCTGACAATTCGCTTTATTATGCTGAATAATTCAAGCATGTTATAGTGCTGTAGTTATACGTTTTTTCAGGTTTTGTTCTCATGTGGTTTTCCATTGTTCTTGTGTTTGAATAATCGTGTCGATTTTTACAGCTTGGTTACTTATAATTGTCACTTAATCTATTATTCATGTGCTAGGTGACATACATTACTGTTATTTTTCGGCTTTGAGTCACGTCTCGTTTGTAAATTAGTAATTCCCGACTGCACGAGCTAAAGTAAATGTAAAAGGGTTCAGAGATGATACCCATTAATCAGGAACCACGTTGTATAGCCATGAAACAATCTTCTAAGACAGATATCCTAAAATAAACTATAAAAAAACGAGATATCGTAATTTGTTTGATTATATTTTCATTACAGTAGACTTACACGAAACATTAGACTTGTATATTTATCATATTTCTTCCAATTCTGTCAGTGACAAAAGGAAATATAGTGAGTGGTAATCAATGAGTTCTTTTTGGCTTAATGAAAAAATCATCTCTTGTTTTCTAATGTCTCAATTTAGCCTCAGAAACCTCGGTTGATCTGACCTCTAAAGTTACAGTCTAGTATTTCTTCTCCCATCAATTAACTTCGACTAATTTGTATCTCAATCCAATCCGATGAAGCTTCGTTCTCTGAACTGGATGGTTTAGTCGAAGAGCTTTCATTTTTCTTCTGACTTTAGACGGAAGTCACTCGAATCTCGTGCTAATAATGTTATTCAGAAGAACAATTATAGTTCAACGATCAATCCATTCAACCTAGAGAATTCTATCAAGATCACCCAACTGAGATAAAAATCTTCACCATCTCAACATGATTTTTAAACCAGTAGTGTACTCAAAGCAGTGTTTGAAAGTTTATAATTTATCGTAATTTCCTTAGTTTCTTTATGTGTAAAACTACATGACTTGCCCTCTAATCAATAGTTCTGTATATACGCTGTCCTTCTCATAGGCTAAACTACTGGAAAGATTCTTTAAAAGTTCTGTTGCTTAATTGGACTTTTGTTTTCTGTCTGTTACTGTTTTTTGTGTAGGAGGAGAGCAATATTTCACTTAATGCATGTTTTTTGTTGGTAGAATAAGGTCTACGCAAGTTGAAAAATCTAGATAGAGTGTAATTAATGACAAGTTACAAGCTATCTCAGCACGAATTCGTAAAGCTCTTTTGGCTTTTGCCAACTTACGTCACCTATGGCGAAGGCGAGATATCCGTCTATCAATTAAGCGACAAGTATACTGCTCAGCAGTTCGTTCTGCTTTACTTTACTGTTGCGAAACGTGGCCGTTAAGAGTAGAAGATATTCGTAAGCTACTATTATTTGACCACATATGTCTTATAAAGATTGCTCGCATCTGCTGGGATCACCGGGTAAGTAATAGTGAGGTTAGATGTAGGGTATTAGGGAATGATGGTAAATCAGTTGATTGGGTTGTAAATCTTCATCGACTGAGGTGGTTGGGCCATGTGTTGCGTATGCCTGAACACCGATTACCTCGACGCGCAGTGATGACTAGTGTAGGGGATGGTTGGAAAGAAGTTAGGGGGCGGCCAAACCAAAACGCGGCATCAGTGCTTGAGGTCACTAACTTCTAGTCTGAGCCATGTTGGTAGATGCAGACTACTTGGTTGGGGTCCGCGTGACTATCGTAGCCAATGGTTGGAGACTCTTGGTGACATGGTTCAGAATCGATCACAATGGCATCGGTGTATACACTCTGTCTTCCCTTAAACTATGAGATTAACATCGCTCCATACCTTTCTTCCTTTACTATATCCTTATATGTAATCTTTCTTCTATATATTACCACCTCTGAATTAATTACTTCTATGAATCCTGTGTTCATTTTGTTGTGCTGATGAGGTATGGCAACTTGGACTGATGCATACATGTGCCTGGTCCTACGTTGTAGCTAATTGATTGATTGAATTGCAAGTCTAAATTATTTTTTGTTTCGACCTCCACTTTATCCACTGTAATTTGAAGAACCAATTGGTAAACCATGACTCTAAGAAAATATAAACTTTTCATAAACCCAAAACCCTAAATTTCATTCTTGAGGTCTCAACTGACTCCACAGATACCAGTGTAAATGCTGAAGTAGATTGGTGTAGCCAAATACTTTGTTCTTTGTTTTCAGGTTAATTGCATGGATGCTTCAATCCAGGAACTATTTTTTATTATGAGCGGTGTGGCTATTGAATGTTTTTTTACAAAGTATGCATATTATAAACTCTTTATTTTTGTTTAGTTTTAGAGTTATGTCTTTTTGTTAATTTCTTTATTCCCATTCAATATACAGTTTATCTCCTTTATACTCAATATATTCGCCCTCGATTTCATCCCAAGCGAACAACACAGTCCCATTAACTTCAAATATTTTACAGGATTACCCAATCCATCCATCACGTCTTTCCTACTATCAGTTAGAATTCGCCTGCTGGTTGGCAACTTTTGTATATACTGGTCCACGGGAATCAAGTCATGCTATGTGAGTTTTTGCTTTTTTGGGGCCATGTGTATAGTTCGCCTTTTTAAGTTGAAAACAGGTGGATAAAGCCGAGTGGTATTTAAATAATAAGCCATGTTAACGGATTATGGACATTCTCGCTTTCACTTATCAATTATGCAAAGCATACGTTATGTAGTTTGTAAGATTTATTAAAAGGGATGTTTTTCCTTTTAGCTCTTCAGACGGTGGCTTCGATTCAAATTTTACTACCCATGGTTCTGTAGTTGGTACTACTGGCCCATCTTTTAACCTGGCTGGCAGTTTCCCATGGGATACACATGGTGATCCAAACGACTTTCTTCTTTCTCGACATTTCCGCTCATTCATAGGTTGTCCTGGTCATGGTGAATTCGAATCTGGATCATATTCAATGGTTAACAGTTACTCCAAACTTTCGAGTTCCCCACCCGTTCAAGCATCAGTTTATCTACGAAATGGCGACGAGAACTTTGTCCAGGAACCAACTAACCAGGCTGTGCCAAACCTCTCTCCTAAACCAAACAGTTATCTACTCAAAGATACTGTTGTAATTCCTTCCACTGTTCAAACATCTCCACTTCCACAAAAATTTATTTTCACTGAACTATTTTTCAATTACGATGAAAAAGTCGTAAGTAAACATTTAAATTAGAAAGTTTTAACATTTGTTGGTGAGTGAGTAGTTTGATTGAATGAATTTACCTTATTCAGAGTCTTTTTGCTGTCCAACTGCAAATGTTTTGGTGTCCTAAGCTACATAATTGTAAATCTCTCACTGGTTTTATCCTACCGATGACTAATAGTTCAGTGGTATCTTGTTTTTTACTTAGGATGTGATTGGACTATCACTGACTGTTACCACTTACTCGCGTATATCTATTTCGTTTACTGATTCATTATAGGCAGTCTCAGACGCTTCTTACTTAAGGTTTTATGTGTCGTAGAAACTCAACTGTTTATCGGGAATATAATCTTTTTACTAGGGTAGGGGAGCTGAAGAATTCGTAGGTTAATCATTTGAAGTAATGGTAGTTGTACACAACCAATGTTATCAGTCATTGATTAAAGCAACCAGCTACACTTATTAGTATTGATTTATTTCATAGTATTGCCTTTGTTGTGTATATGCAACCGTCCTCGTAACCACTACCTTTCTCCCAGTTATCATCACTCTTAATTATTCATGAACCACACTTTGACATCATTTAGATTCTTGTAATATTTCACCATGAATTTTAAACAGTCCTTGGAGTAATAGTAATGCTTTATTGCTGGTGAAGATTTGTGTTTGGAATTCCAGTCGTATTAAATGGCCGTTTTTGTGAAAAAGTCCCGAATAAAATTATTCATTTTTTATTGAAACTACGAAAAAGCCTGAATCAATTTTCGATAGATGCTATCTAGCTGAAAATAATTTTATATTCTACATATGGTTTTCTATAAGATTGCCTTGGGAAAGGACAGGTATCAATGTTTTTGAATCATAATTAAATACTGGATCCGTTGCTTGATTTATATAACTTGTAGATTAATCTGCTCTTGCAATTATTTAGCTCCAGGAAATAAATCATTCATAATATTATGATTGGAAGTCATATACATTTTTTCTGATTGTTTGATCATCAATTTAAACGTATTTACAAATAATTTTATTCTTCAGGTTTCTATGGTTCATGAAGTGTTATATGGATGTAGACAAAATATTGATTTGGTACAGGATATTTTACATCAGGCATTGCTACTTCCTTTAGAATGTCACAAAGCTCTTTTCTTTATCGTTACAGTTTATGGTTCGTGGTTGGAAGTAAGTGTTTATTCAGTTTCCAAGATTATATATTTTGTTGTCACATTTTCGAACTCCTGGGAGCATTTTCAAGTACTTTAAAACTTAGTTTATATGTGATAACAAATGATGCATTTCTAGTTAACATCGGCTTTTATGTGATCTGTTCATTATGTACTACCGATTGACTTATATAAGTAAGAACCCAAACGAATGTTGACCAAAGAATCGTAAATCAAGACTGACGTCAATAGTTTTGAACTATTTGTGTCATTCAGATAGAATAACGTCCCTATGCTAAGATTCACAAGGCTTGTAGCGATTTAAAGCAAGTTACAGAATATGATATGATGAAACCATAGCAAAACATTGCAACTGGATTTTAATTATGTACAATTTTTTTCTTGAACTTGTAATTATTTATCTTGTAATTACTTTTATTAACTATTCATTTTTAAGTTTTCATTTCTTGCTCTCATTTTAACTTCAGTCATATTTTTATGCGATATCCTTCAGCTCAGTGCTTCTTCTAATATCAGACTTCCATTAAAGAAATGCTGTTCTTATAACTTGTCTGACAAAAAGCCATGTATTGGAATTATAAAATTCACCATTCCATAAATTGTTTCAGTGTACTTAGATGCAAAACAGTGTGCCATATTGGAATAATCCAGGTCTCTATATGGACTTCATAGTGTCCTAAGTTTACTGAATAGTCGTAGTACAGAGTACCAAATTTAATCAATCATACCAAGTATTTACACCTTCTTTTTCATTACTTTGAGAATGGGACTAGCTATCCTGGTTTGTTTCACAAAATAAAAAAAATGAATTCTTACTACTGTTTACAGTTTCTTAAATACACTTCCTTCGATTCTACTGAATATCTCGAAAGTTGTCAATACAACTTGGATATTTACCGAGGCCTAATAATGTATAATACCAGTGATAATTTGACAATCACTTATTCTGTGTAGGAATTTCCACCTCTCTCCATATATGTAGTTCAGTGAATTGTTGATTTCATTGATATTTTGTCTTAAACTGTTAAAGCTGGTTGTATGTAGTACCATTTTAGCTAGTAACAAATATAATAATCTTTGCCTGTAATATCTAACTACTGTTATTGCTTTTTGTCGTTCAAATTTAGAACAAACACAATCGCCCAATTTTTATGCAAGCTTTAGATAGTCCAATGAAATGTATTAATCCGGTTAGTTTCAAATTTGTTGATCTCCCTCTTTCTAAACATTTTGATATCTGTTTTCTATCATTTTTAAAAGTATAATAGAGCAGTTGATTTTATCGCAAATATATTTACATATTAATTAGTGTTCAACTGTTCGTCCATTCTAAGCATGACATTAAAAGAATCATCATAAGAGAATTAAAAAAAAACACTGTTAGCTTTGGCTTTTAAGAACACTAACCTACTGAAAAAGTACTCAAAAATGTTCTGTTATAGAAACTGACTGTAGTTTTCATTCCTAAGAATACTAGGTTAAATAAGTGCTAAGCTTTGGTCTTTTTTGTTTAATTCGCTTTTTATTAAGCTAATACCTTGCAATTATTACAACGTCGTAAACTGGAAGTCATTTCTCAGTGTTAGCTTCCTCCTGACACAGTTTCTAGTCCCCTGACAAGTTGAACAACTAAGGAAAAGGTATCTTTTACTGCATCAGAATAATTGATATTTTAAATTATTTTCTTATTGTTTGCTCCCCAGGATAACTTTGTATACACTGGTATTTTACGTAATTTTCAGTTGTACATGGCTTTATATTACATTATTATTGTACAGTTTATATTATGCAATACTGTACGTAAGAAATACTTGTTTTAAATTTTACTTTCGCTAAGAATACAAATATTACAATAATTATATGGTTGTCAAGTGCCGTTCATAAAAAAAGTAAACTTTTCCAGTCATGTAAATGTAAAAAAATATTTTTCTTCTTATTACGTAAACCCTCAGCCAGTGAAACCACAAGTAAACGCATCTTCAACAGAACACAGTCAAATGCTTAAAACGAATGGCCGTATGAATGATCCTAAACAAATTCAACAGTCGCAAATTGAAGATTGTCCTATTGATGTGACTGTATCTAAGGATGATGTTGGCGTCAATGATCCAGAAGAATTGAAAGGTTGTTTACAGAATACAATTCAGGTTAGCTGAAGCATCATTAACATTTGAATAATTAATTAACAAACTTGGTTGTTCACTAGTTACCTTAGAATAATATTATTTATTGTTTATTTTGTTTTGCTTACTTACTTGCTTACCACTTCTAGTTACATCTACATGCAGATCTCAGTGATCAATAATGATTATTGATTTCCTATGTTTGTTCGACTGATTTACTTATTGTTGCGACCTGTATTAAGGATGCAACCAAGTTTTGCACACAGTTAATTTATTCATATCCATTTTCAAGTAATGATGCTTAAATTCTATTTGCTTGGAAAACCTTTTAAGTTATTTTACCATACATATATATAATTAGTTTCTTAAATTTATAGAATGTGTTGACCTCTCTGTAAATTATTGATTGCTTTAAATGGTAAAATTATTATATTTCTTCTTTAAGTCCAGTGACATTATTGTATATAAATTAGTTTTAAATGGATATTCCAAGATTTCACCTGTCGAGTAGTAGTTTATAAGTTTTTATCTAGTACAAAATCTGGTATTTATTGTAGCCTTCGGGAAGACTTGCTTCACAAAAATGTGAAAACTTCTGTTTTCCTGGAGATCCTCAGCTGATTTCGCTCAACACTGAAAACACAAACTCTAACTACTAGCTTATTTTGTATATGATTACCCTGTAAGATCGGACTACACAAAATGATGGTCGGTAATTTGAAATCAAGATAGTGTTGTGACACTTCATTACCAGTCTCAAACGATAAGTGTAGTTTGAATAGTATAATCAGAAGATTATCAAAACTATATCATATATTAGCGCAATACTTTTCTAACAATCTGATCACACATATGCTTGTTATGGTTATTTATATATGAAAAGTTAAAAGGTCCACTAGACGAATGAAAGGTAAAAAGAAAGAAAGATAATAAAGAAAATAATGTGGATAGCAATATGAAATTCATCACGCTGGATAATAAAACAGTTTTACCAGAGATGGTTCAGCGTGAGAACAGATTGTTCTTGAGCACATGAAAGGGGTTTGAATTTTTGTATGTCCGGGACCCCGATAAACATAAGTATACGCCCTTGAACGCTTTTATACAAAACCACGGAAGCAGAGTATGATGTTTTTCCTATCGTTTATTAGTCCCGTGAACTGTTTTTTTGAATGATCTACGCAACGTTTGTCCATTCTCATTAGGTTTTGTGCTGTATTCTGTGATGAATGCTTACATACATATACCATTAATATTTGTACGCCAGTCAATGTCTGTAGTGACTAATAACGAATTACTACTTAATAATCATAATCTATATTTGAGGGTGATAGATTACAGAGCGTACTGATTCATAGTTTATTTCAATGTGGCCACTGCAGTCACTGCCGACTTCTAAGGCTCGAGATTTTCACAAGTATTCCTTCTATATATAATTTGAACACATAAACACTGGTACAAGGGGGCACAAAATACATACGCGACACACGATAACAATGAGGCTAGTAACAGTTACCATTGGTTTGTGTGACGTCTGTTATACTGCCCGGGTGCCCAGATTGAATCAGGTGGTTTTCTTAGGAGGCAACACCTCGAGCCTTCGACCTAAAGATCTGATCCACAATGAAGTGGAGCAATGTCAGAAGTTGCAGTCCCATGGTAGCCAGTGACCAACAATACGTTTACATTCCTTTTGTTCCCTCAGGATCCTGTACTCTATTGGTTTGTAATCAGGGTTTTCCGACTCCCCCAGGTGGATCCTCCATATCCACCAACTCGGTTAAGGCACCGGACATTCGCTTTTCGTCCTCTCAATTTCGTAAACAACACCTCCACTACGAGAAGGTAGTGTGTAAGACTTCGTTGGTAGTGGTTGTATACGCCTGGTCATGTGAGTGCATTTTGAAAGGGAGAGCTGACTCAACCCACCCCCGGCCATACAAGAGCATTTGGGGGCATATATATATATAATTAAGTTGAAATCTTATAATATGCAAGAACTTCATTTCTTGTCTAATCACCATATACTGTTCTTCGATGCATCCAATAAATCGGATTGAAATAGTTAATCAGCACATTTACTATCCTTTTTACCCTAATGCCATCGTTATCCAAATTCGTTTGTCCAGTTATTAACCACTTACTAAACTTCTTAATGATATATATTCTTAGAACGTATTCACACTGTATATTCAACTAAGTTATGTCATTCGTCAGTTACGTTATGTAATCTCGAAAAATATTTCGGAAACACAAACACACCTGTTTTACTAACCTTTTTGAGTTTTTTTCTTCAATCATCAATTAGTGAGTTTTTGTTTATGTTTATTGATTTTATTTATTTGTTTAAATTATTTTTCGTTGTTGTTTGTCGTTCTATAACACACCCATACACTCTGTAGATTATGCTGGAAAATATGGCCAATATATTTTATGCCAGTAGTTTAAATCCTAACTTATCGGAATCACAAAATACAAACAGAATCAGTACAAGTGGAACAGATTATACGAAATATCAAATTGATTTATGCCGTTTAGTGTTACAGATTTTTCAATTTGCTAGTAACAGTAATGAGTTAACTTCAGAGACCTGGTAAGTATATAGTATAAACTTTTAAAAAAGTTGTTATGATTGCATTTTACGTGTGAAAAAAGGAACAAATTATTACTTTTTTTCTTATTCTCGTACGTTTGTCGTAAACAAGCTCAGTTGTTTAATCACATGTTGGTTATGTTAGAAAACACTATGCAACAAAACAGAAATATGTCCTTCAGTTAACAACTTTAGAAGTATGCTTAAACGCCTAATTGTGTAGTTGGTCAGTTCAGATCACTATTAAAGCGGTAACATACTGAAAAAATATGAATATTTTGCCTTGTGTCCAACATCTCAATCGTATTAAAAATTTTATTTCATGTCATACACCATTAAACAATATGATTAGTTGTAAACTACTCGTGCTAATCAACGCTGATACTTAACCAAAGTGTAACGGTTTGAACACTAGACGATCATTTCACTTTCTTGAAGTGTATTGTATCAGTTATGTAAACAGACTATTTCAATCCAACGATGACCCTACTACCATTTGATATAAGTGATTTTCAAGTAATCATCTTATCTTTTGATATGAAGCTTAAAGCCTACAGGCAGGAATTTTCTGTACCGTTAGTAAATTCTGTGAAATCGTACATTACGTTTCCTAAGGAAATTTCGGTGGGATTTTATAGTTAGGTTTTATCTGTTTGTGTCGTTCGCATCCTTAACTGTGAATTCTCCGAACATCTCTTCGATTGGACTAATCTATTTATAAATCATTGGTATTTTCAAAACTTCTGTATTTGGACACAAATAGTTTAAATCTTATTAGCCTGGTGTTTGATTTCCAGTTAAGTTTCTTTAATTAATTGAGTCTAATCATCCTTTTCATATTTTAGGTCTAAATTATTGTCCATCCTAATGGATATAATGCGCAAAACAATGGTTAATACTTCGCCAAATAATGTTCAGAATTACAAATGGTTATCAAACAATAAACTTACACAGAATCTTTTTCAGGTAGGATATCTTGATAGCTGTTTACATTGTACTATAAAATTTGTGCTCCTTTTGTAGGGAAGCTTAAAGTCTCATATTATTGCAACATGTTAACTTTACGATTACTTTGTTGACCTCATTTTTCCCATATGTCTCTGTTAACACTTAGAAATCTATGTAGTGCATGTAGGCCTATCAGTTCAATCTTAACTATTAGTCCAAAATAATTAATTTATGAGATGGAAATAAAACTCGTAATCCAACTAATCGGAAATTGTGCCAACTGTTCGGATTCACTGATTTCTATATGACAGTTATTGGCATAATTCTCAGAGATACTTATATTATTACTCGGTTAGTTTTTCTCTACGTCGGTTGATTGAAAGTAATTTAATAAACACATTCTCAACTGTGCATCAAGTTGAAATACATTTTTGCTTAACAAAAGGGCAGAAAAATGAGTTATGAAGCACTAAACACAGGTACAGCAACGTTGTTTTCAGTTTTCAAAAGAAAATATAGCAAATAATTGTTTATCGTGGTTCTATTCGAGCATAAATACTAGGTTGTCGCAAACATTTTATTTTATCTAGATTACTAGTTTTGATTGTTACTACATCGAATTTGCAATGTATCATTAGTAAATAACAGGGTCCGTTAATTTTATTTGCTCCATATTCACTTTCAACTGGTATGCGACCTGAGATCTAGCCTCTCAAGCTGCCTACTTACATCTCTCTTAGTATTTAGCATTCTCTTTGTGAACTCATGAATCGATCAATGTTAGACCACCATTAGGAAGCTGTAAGGACTGGACGGCCATTTCGTCAGTATGGAACTCCTCAGCAGTGCACATCCACGATCCTGCTCGCGGTAATCGAACCCAGAAACCGAGCAATCTCTACAACCCTCTACTGGTTCTCTTCGTGATATTGATTTTTAATGAAAAGCGTCAAATAGATTAAATCTCGGTATTAGAGTGTATCGTTATCTTCCCCTGCTACTTATTATATCAAGGGTACCGATACATTAGAACTAACTGGAACCACGCGTTACGTTGCCATTTCTTGCAAGTATGGCTTGCAGAGTATGCACAGAATACCTCTTTATAGATCTACCACACTATTCTTTCATACATTCATCTATGGAGAATATTCGATGGATTGTTACATGTTTATTAACGAAACTGCATTATTTTCGAAGGTGACTATTCATAGATATATAGGGACTATGTAAAATCGATTGCCACATGTAAAACAGGGTTTTTGTAAAATTGCTATCATCTTTACGTTTATTGGTTCCGTAAGTATTTTACCATTGTCTTCATTCTGGTAGAAGTAGTTCTAATGAGCTTTCATCAACTTATATTTGGTTGTATCTTTTATTTTGGTATATATCGTAGAATTAAAGCCCATAAATCTATTTCCTTCTTTGTAGACTTTAAATGGTGCTTTACTACGTGCATCTCTATTTTCCACAATATCTTCAGATTCATGGGACCAGTGTTTAAATGTTTACTCTCAGTTAAGTCACTGGCCATCACTGATAATCGAATGGAAAGTATGTTACATAGTAGTAGAAATCCCTATTTATATTTACTGTTTCTATCATATTCAATTAAGTACCTCAATAGCAATTGGAAAAAACTGGGAAGGAGTACCTAGGACAGAGTTTGATGAAGAATCCTGGTAGGAGGGTTATGCTCCTCCACGAGGGGTAACAGTTTAAAGGGAAGGATCTCAGTTATCTGTAACTATCGTATTATTCTTTGGTGTCCTAGTACAAACAAGAATTGAGGAGATCCTACCTCTTACAGAATTGTCCTACGCAGTCCTTCCATGTGACTGGGATGTGTCCATCGAAATGAGAGAGCATAATTTGTTGGTAGGAAGGGGTCCATCTGGTTGATTTCGAAAACTAGTTTCAGACGAACTAATGATGAACATGCGCTTTAGGATCCTAAATGAAAGAAAACCACATAAACCTGATTTAGTAGTCAGTTACCATGGCATTGCGTCTTTTCATGTTAGTATACTGTCCTATGAATTTGATATCTAAGTTGAAGGCTGAGTAGTCATCATACAAAACACCACGTGTCTAGGTTTATGCACTAGCTCACTCAATGTATTCATATAAAACCTGAGTATTTTAATAAAGAGAAGGAATGCGACGTTTAGTAGCTTTTTTCCTAATATAAAATATTCATGTTGGATTAAGATATTTCAATACATTTCTATTTTCCTTTTGTTATAACTGAAGTGTCGTCGATCTCTTAAATGAATTTGTTTTTGGAGAATCCTCATATCGAAGCAGATTTACACTATCATATAAATTGTCAGGAATAGGCGTGTACGAGTTTCGTTTGGTCTTTTAATCTACAATTATTAGTTAGTAATTCCAACTATAATAGGTATAATTCGAGATGTGTATCCGCATAAATCATGTAATGAGGATATTACTGTGATCTGTAAACATGAACAGCATATGTATTAGAGTTCTGCTATCGTAACAGCAGATAATTGAGAACAAGAAGCGTATGTGTGCAGCAGTATATCTGTGAACATGAATCCATGTGTCATGCCATGAGGTGCTCAAAAATGGAACGGAAGATCAAAGGTTATGTTTTTACAAAGAACAATTTTACAGTCAATAAATGTAATTGTACAAATTCCGGGAATTAATGAAAGAAGTGCAAATAGTGGCGAAAACTAATTACAAAATATGTCTATTTTAACTATCTCCGCATAGCTCTCCACAGTGTCCGGAGGTAACACTGGTATGTCGAACAAATCGGGGAAAATAAGATTACATGCCTACAAAAATAAACACAAAGGAAAGGCAAAAATAAATGTGTAATGATATTTTGTGGAAAAAGGTTTTTGCTAATAGATGTATGTATATTACGGAATATGACATGGACATTAGTGATCTACGATATGTTAGTTTACAGAGTCATGTGTATGTAGTTGAGCACTACAGAAATGAAAGTACAATCAATAATAGTGTCTTTGGTTGACAGTGATAATAATGTCACATTGCAAGTAGCACCATAACACTAGGACAGAAAAGTTCACAATAATAATAGTAGCTGCAACAACTTCAACAAATCACAATATTATTCATTTAGGTCAACCATATCAGGTTCACGTATATGAATTACGATATACTTGATCATCGACCTCCTGAAATATATAAAGAAAAAGATTATTAGCGAAGCTGACAGATTGTCATATTATGTTTAAAACCTTCGTTATTTTGGTTTCGATATCTTTATTCCCTTTCTATTCTTCTCTCTTTGTTATTATTATCCAACAGAAAGTTATGCGAATGTTAACATGTACAATGTCTAAATTGGTATATGGTGTAGATTTGTCAGATTTACCTCAAGAAAAGAAAGGACCTCGAATTAAGCGTTTAGCAGGTATTTTCAATTTGGGCAATCCACACATCTCTGTTTTATTTGTATTTCAAAATAACAACTAGTTATACAAAACATTAACAAATTAAATTGTTCGTACATTTCGTGTTACATTGTTCTATTATTAGTTATCGTTCAAGTGTACTATCACATTAGAAATGAAATATGATTAAATAAACAAATAAATAGTTATTGTACAAGCCAAGTAGAGAGTTCATGTAAATTAACTCCACACATGCATATTACAAATATGTATGGTTTAGTAAAGTGTTTTACATTTTTATTATTAAATTTCTCAAAACCTTTATAACTAAATTCAAAGAATAAATTATTTTTCAAATCTAATTTTATTGTATATGTACACATATGTCTATATAACTTGGTTATGCATAGATGTTGTAGGTATACACGCGAAATGGGCAAATCAACCATCATCTCATAATTTTCTATCCATTTAATTTATTATTTCGCCCGAATAATAATAATAATAATTATTATTATTTACACAACTTTTATGGGACATAAGCTAATGTTCATGATCATGATAAAGAATTCAGTGATGGTGAGCAAAAATAATCTAAATTTACCCAAAAAAGAAAACAAATAAAATAAACAATAGCAAATGAATCTGAAGTGGAAACATCACGAAATATTACGTATATGAATTATGTTGTTCCTTTTTAATTCTGAATAAATAATGCATTCATATCGCCTATTGAATTTATTATTATTAGTAGTAGTGTGGTGTATGCTACTGATTTTTATAGATATAAGTAGGATGTGACGCCGATCAGATGTGTAGTGTCTATCAAAAGAAGGTTAAGGAAATTGAACTGAAACAAACAGAAAACGAAATTGAGAACGGAATTGAGAATTACAAAAATCATGAAGGATGTAAAAGACAACTGATGAAAGATGTGCAAATTATGTATTTAATGTACGGTTTTTATAAATCTCGAAGACACTCCTTAATTTTGCATTAAACAACAAATTGATTATTTCCACCTAAGTATTCGTCCACTACAGTTGTAGTAGAGCTAAATCTTATTTAATTATTCGTTTTTTTTCTAAGAAAAATGTAATGATATCGATTATCTTACCGCTTTTATTATGCATAAATTCAATGGCATAGTTATTTCCTGTCAGTGATTCTCTTCAAAAATTTAAAACAAAAGGTAGAAACAAACAATATTATTTGCAAAATATGATAAATTCAAGTTGTATTTTGTTTCCTCCTGTTTAAGTTATACATTGAGCGTAATAATTTTAGTTATTTCCAGTTGGTAAAATATTGCGGAATTTGTATATCAACAGAGAGTAAGTTAAAGAATAAAGACCGTTCAATAAAGAAAATTTTCTCTTCGATGATTTCACCTACTCAAGCTGTACATTTATATTTATAGTTAATTTTATTTGCTAATGATAGTAATGCAATAAAAGGATAGTGTTGGATAAGTTAAAAAAAAACCTGAAGTGGTCGTTTGTCATGAATTGTTTATGAAAATCAGATATTAAGAGGTAGTTATATGATGATGGCCTAATGAAAGTGGTAAGGTGAACATAATTGTCCAATTCCTGCTTCGGTTTGGGCACCCGGGCAGTATCCCAGCCCTCACGCAAATCAAATGAGGTTTGTGTGGCGCATATGTATTTGGTGTCCCCCCTTGTATCTATGTGTTCAAATAAATAAATAAATTGTCCACTTGATAGCTGTTGAGAACAGTTCTGTAACAATCGTTCCTCAAGTTCCTACCATGCCAGACAAATCGGTTGAAGAGCTGTAGGACTAAAAGCAGCAAACCCAAGGTCCGAGGGCGAAGTCGTACTGCTGACTGTACAAAAGTGTAACAACAGTAAGGTGTTTCCTTCAGACAACCAGCATAAGAACGATGCTGCTTTCCCCACGAGGGAAGAGTGGGGTTAGAAAAGGTTGACCCTAAAAATGCACATTTCGCCCTATCCCACGGATATCCGTTTCTGGCAGTAAGCTTCCAACAAGTACGGAACTAACACGAAAATTCACTACAAGACAGTGTGTGACCGGCCTCAAGCAGTTGTGCCCTGGGCACTGTAGTCACGCTCTCAGGTCACTAAAACCACCTGTAACCCGATTTCCTTTTCAGGTACCTCTAGGAGAACCCTTCTACGGTGTGAGCAACCGGGAAGTATAAACCGCCCTCATACCTCTAATAGCACTCAAGATCACTGGGAATTGGAAAAAAACAATGGATTACGAGTGACAGAAAGAAAGTTTAAGATCACGAAAGGATAAGCGATCTAACATACTGTTTTTATTTGAATGGATATAAAGTTAAGGATTAGTTTTATCAGGGTTCTTATATTTGCTTTGGGCTATATTTCTAGAATATTTTTAAGATAATTTTGTGCAATGTAGCAAACTAGTCTGAAAGATTCAGAAATAAACAGGTGAACTATTACCTCAAGCAATCTTGAATACCACCTTAAATCTTTAATTTTTAATTTTGTATAGTTTTCAAACAACTTATTCCCTATTGATGGACAATTCGTTTTTTGAATTTCACATTTTTTTATTAAATGAAAAGTAACTAAGCATATACATGTAGCTGAAGAGAAACCACCTAGATACAACATTAATTCATTGTATTCTGAAATATAGATTCTTCTTGTTTTGTGTAATTTTTACAAAATTTCCACCTTTTTTCCCCAAATCTATGACGTGTTAGTTACGTAATTGATTGGCCTGATGTTACATATGTGCGAAGTGTATTTACTCACCTGTTTGTTTTCTTTTTGTATTTGTTTACAGGTTCTACTAATCCAGCTACTAGAACTCGACCGAAATCATTGACTGAAGCAGCGTTGAATTATCATAATGACAATACTATTATTATTACTACTACTACTACTACTACTACTACTACTAGTATTACTGCTACTACTACTACTGCTACTACTGCTTATAATAGCAGTAGTTTAGCAACCGTTTTGTCATCACCTCCTGCGCCTTATGCTAGTGCATTATCGGTTTTAAGTATTCATCAAAATTCACTCGACGATGATAATTTGGCGTTAAATACTAACTCCATTGAACTACATTTATCATCACAGGAGAATTCACAAAAACAATTTTCTACGTATAATGAACTGAAAGCATCAAAAAATGATAATAATACTAGGCCATGCATTGAGAAATGGACTCTTGACCCTGGATCCTCTGAAAACTATGCATTGGATAATAATAGTAATGGTAATGTAGTGCATAGCTATATCCCTTCTAATGTATCTTCAATTAACGGCACTCATGATGAGTCGAATTCACAGGTGTTAAGTAATGATTTAACAGAGGTATATGGTAATCATGCTCTGCATAATTCACGGTCTATTTCTCATGAATTATCAAATCAAAATGAATCAAAGCGATTTAATGTAACCGTTAAAAGTGAAATATCAATATCAGAAAGTAGACGTATGTCATCTGTAAGACGTGCAACGAGTGAAATCACGCTGGAAGTTGTTAAGGTAATGATTACCTCCATTTTTTTTCTTATTTCACTTCGTTTTAAAATTAGATTTAGATTTCCCATCATTAATACCATTCTCCTATTTTACTTTCGAAAGTACACTTTTATTGGTAATAATAATAATTCATGTACAAACATTTTCTGAAATAATGGCCTAGTTCTTCCATTTTTTACTGTTAACTTCAAAAAGTATGTTCCAATGTGTTCTACGCTAAGTTCACATAATAATTTTGATAAGAAACTGTTTTCTTGGTTCTAGTCTGTTCGATATATTCGGGTAGTTTTTGTATCTGAGTAGTAGTGTGACAGGCGAAATCTGATTATGACAAAAGCCTAGAGCGATATGTCCGATTGTTATTCCGTACGAAGTCAATACTTGACTCCGAATGACAATAAAAGTTCCGCATTTGAACTGTCCAGCTCAAAAAACTTAGCAGTACCGAAAGGATCCAACTAAGCTGCAAATCTTCATCATTCCAGTATCCCAAACCGGTTCACGTTGGGTTCTGTAGAGACATATCTCTGTAAATGATAACTTGAATCATACTTGTGTGTTGATGACTTATTTTTACTCAGCTCTCTACGGGATTTTCTACATTCGATATAGAAACTGAATAAGCAGTTTTCATATCCTATGTTTCTCTAGGACAATAGTCATTATTCATCAGAAGAAACTACTCTAAAACTCTCCCGTTATTGGTTTGAATGGAATTCATCCATATAATTAAGTATGTGATGGTAATCAAAAATCTATCACAGTGGTTCTTTCGTAGTCACAATTTATCTTACATATCTCAATCATTCTTGATTATAATAAAGACAACGATGTATGGTAATATACATATAAAACACCAGTGATTAGAAGATTGAATTTCTGACGTTTCACAACCTAGAGCAATAAATAACCGTTTATTTATCTTTAGTTCTTGACCTACATCACTATTTCTGTATTTTCTTCATTTTAGTTCATTTTCTTTTACTGTGTTTTTGAGAATTTTTAAAACTTGAACTGAAGCACTTTTTTTCGACATTTCGTCTCCATTTATCTATCTGTTTGTTTGTTTAATGAAATTAGCCAATCATGAAAAGAACAGATGATTTTTTCTGGGAACTGCTGATACATAGAGTCACTGTAAATAAGATCTTGATCTTAATACTACAGTTTTGTCTATATACTTTCATTATACACAAGTCTGTTTTGTTTCTAAAATATCAATATAGAAAACAATCCCATATCTAATTCCTTATTTAACTAAAACGCTAAATAATCAGCCCACTTTTATGCTTTAAGTTTATTAACTGATTGAACATACCCCAAAAAGAATTATAATTGAGGTTAATTAATTATACTCTTTTAATACTTTCGTAGACAGTAATTAATTCATTTGCGACCCTATAACAATTTTTTTTAAATTTCACTACATCTTTGCTTGCAGATTATATATGTTTCTTAGTACAAGTTAATACTCAGTGCAATTCAGTTATTTTCTCTATTTCAGTTGTCGAAAAGCAGTTATTACATATATATATATATATATATATATATATATATATATATATATATATATATATATTTATATATTGTAGAACAGATATATTGTTTATATTTTTTAAGCTTACTTTAATACATCTACTTTTTACTCCCAGAATCACCATTCTACTCCACAAGCTATGGAGTCTTCATGTAACCCGAGATTTAGCCGTCTTACTAGGGATGATCATGATTGTCGGTTACATCCTGAGTTGTCTAGCCATCACCGTTTGTCTAACTCACTTAATTTGCTCACAACTGTATCTACTGCAGCTCTTTTAGGCAGATTTTCTCATCTTGTAAGTATGTCTTTTACTGATGATAAACAACCAACATACTCCGAAAAAGCATCAGTCGTCCATCATTCGGGTTCCAGGATATTTGCAATTAGTTGTTTAGAAGATTCCCTTTCATTGAGTCAAAATGGTCTCAATACAGGCAGTTGTGCTTCAGGGAAAGAAATTCCTAATGAATCTTTGAAGGTAAAAATGATAATCTGTTAGTGCTTGCATACGCTTGCTTAAGTATTTTCCAAATTATTGTTCCTTACAAGTTTAAAAAACTAAGATATAATTGCCAGATTTCAAAAGTTTAACACATTTTCAGTCATATTCCATGAAATTAATGGGTTTCAAAATTTACACTTTGAGATCAGCTTTAAATTAAAACAGTAAAGTTTTACATCAGAATTGCTTATACTTCAGTTTTATTCTTAATAGTACTTGTTGTCACTTGGTCGTAACTGAAACTTTAGAAAGACTTTAAGTTTTGAATTCGGCTACTCTTCATTTCTCATTAACTTATTTGATGATCTAAGTTCATTTAGAAAGCTTTTTATTGATTATCACCAACAAACATTGGAATTCGCCGATATTTAAGGAGTACAATCAGATCATAGCCTAAGATTACCTTGATTTATTCCCACTCATATTATAACTAGCTTATGTCTTAAGTAGTACTTATTTAAACACATAAACATTGGTACAAGAAGGCACCAAATAGATATGCGTCACATAAATCATTCGATTTGTGTGAAGGCTGGGGTAGTGCCCAAACCGAAGAAGAGGGTTTTCTTAGGGGGCCACACTCAGAGCCTTTGACCTAAAGGTCTGATATACAAGGCAGTGGAGCAACGTCAGGAAATGCAGTCCCATGGTAGCCGGTGACCAACAATAGGTTCGTATGCCTTTTGTTTCTCCAGGATGTTGGAGCCGACGTGCATCATTGGTTTGGAATCAGGGTTTTCCAACTCCCTTAGATGGACCCTCCGTACCCACCACCAACCCGGTTAAAGCGCCGAATATTCGCTTTTCGTCCTCTAAATTTCATAAACACCCGTGACGCAAGAAGGCAGTAAGACTTCACTAGCAGTGGTTGTATGCATGTGGCCATGTGAGAACATTTCGAGAGGGAGAATTGACTCTCCTCACTCTCGACCGTACCAGGGCATTTGGGGGCCAGCAGTACGTATGATAACAATAATAATAATACAGATAGCAAAGTAATGTTTTTTTTTAAATTTGACATCGTGTCAGAGTATTCCCCACTATATATATAGTTCGTGTTCTGTATCTACTGATTTATTCATGCTTCAAGCTTAAAAATCAGGCCATTATTTATTGAAGAATAAGCCACCCCAAAATTCAATTTTTTCAGTCGTTTTTAACATTGAGTCGTGTTACTTTTTTCGTTAGAATTTTATGTATAAACACGGTAGTCTTCGTATCGTTTTATTGGGGTTTATGTCTATAATTTGATCTCCTGCACACTAATTGCTCGGTTGCATTGTTTCATATTTAATCTGTTGATTAATATTCTGTTCATTTTAAATGATTACGAGCCTTGTTCATCCAATGATTTTTTAAATTTATAAGAAAAACAAATATTAGTCTTCACTGTGTAGTCGGTATTTTGATTAAAGTGTTTTCTTTCTTTTTCTTTTACTATACATCTTATGCTTAATACACATGTAATTGTTGTTGTAATATAAAACTTAGTGTAATGATTTGCATTGTTTATTGTTTCATTTTAAGTCAACTGATATACTTTTCAATGTGCCAACTAATATTTGTGTAATTTATATTCGTGAGAAATAGTGTAATGTGATGGTTAAATGTGTAAAGTGGTGTTGTGATTGATGAACAGCTTAAATAAATCTTACTTCTATCATTTCTTTTTGTGATCAATACATTGTCATTCGTAAAGAATATTTTACTCATTCATCATTGTTGCATAAATTTTTATTTTCCATTTATGTCTTGCATAGTTTGATCTCGATTCACCTCAGAGTTCAGTGACAACTTATTTCGATGAAAGTATTGATGTAGGTACTTCAAGTAAGTAAAGATAGTTCTTTGTTGTTATTTGTGTGATTAATATTGTTTGAGGTGTTCGTTAAGTATTATTACGGTATTGAGGTGAGTTAGATTAATGCTATATTAGTTATTGATGTACTGCATCGTTTGCTCAGAATTGAGATTTTCGAAGTGTTATAAATTCTAGTTTCACGTTTGAATACATATTTCAACTGTTTACTTGAGTTGACTAGAAATAATTAAAAAACAAATTGTCATTCATGATGAGCATCACCAACTTAAATTATATTGTCATCGAAAATATAGCTACAATCAAGTCCCTGCAATTAAATTCGCATAGTTATGAATTTTCTAGTCTGTCATGCATGATATAGCAGATGTTAATCATTCACCTACAGCTAATTTGTCGAGTGTGGTTGTCATTTCTCACTTCATGGGAGGAGGATTCTTCTCGAGGAAACCAAGTTACGAGGTGGTCTTGACAACTTAGTAACAATGACCAAAACCCCACAGAAACAACTGCTTATGGCTGGTCACATACATCCTTTTTGTGATTACTTTTAGTTGTATTGTGTTCATATTTATACCGCCTTAACGATGGCGATACGCGTAGCTAGGTGAAGTGTACTGTTTTTATACAGAACATTTCCCACCTCTCCCTGTTTTCGTTGTGGGAGCGTCATTGGTGAAGATACTGGTCGTCTAAAGGAAATGTCGTAATTCCTTCATACCCTTTTACAGTTAGGAATAAGACTTCACCCGCAGATCATAAGTTTGCTGCTCAACCTGGTCACCACCATATGCAAGCTAGAACACCACAACTAGGCAGCACCCACAGTTAGATAAATCTAAATTCAGTTCAATATTGTAAATTATTACTTGCGTTAACAAAACAATGAAGTTTCTCTTAAATATTTTCAATTTTCAGTAGTAATTATATTGATTTTCCTTAGCTTGAAATAAACTACAGTGTTCTTGAATCTAATGATAATAAATACCCTTTTTAAACTATCCTTGGTCAGTGTTGTAGGGGTCCCTAATATTTACCACTTATAGTTTGGTTAACTATCATTTACATAAATGAGCATTTGTTTTTACAAACCATTGAGTAATTTTCCCGAATCGATTTTTTGTTAAAATCGCCGTTTTTTTTATTACTTGAGAATTGCTGACTTCCAACTTGGAGTTTCGTTGTTGCTCAATAATGGTCTACAGATAACCAATCTTAGTGGCAACATAACTAATTTTGACTGTACTAGTCTTTTATAACAAAATATTTGTAAAGAATGACCTTGTTTTCAAAGAGGCTACATATTTTGCTCATAAATTTTTCATCACTATAACAGTGACCCTTAAATTTATCTTCAGCTAGCTGTTTTCCTTATAGACCCAATCATTTGAACAAGCCATCAAATGAGTTTCTGATCTTTTGAATTATTTGTTCATTTCTGTGTTAGAATATGAAATTTTTTAGTTCTATCGAATTTTAGATACACCATGCAACCCATTACTTTTCATTCAGCTGCTTAATAATTTTTGTTTTCTTGCATTCTGATAAGCATTGTGTTTTATCGATCAGCCCATATGGGTCTTTTTGAAAGTCTGCAAGTATACATAGGTTCTGTTGTGGTTCATTGGTTATTTTGTGTACAGGATAATGTTAGGCAAACATTTTAAATCTGTGTTTCTGTACGAATTAGTCCAAATGTGTAAAATCAACATCTGATATATGCTCTCCATTAAGTGTCATCGCATTTTCAATTAAAAGATACGAAAGTTTGTATTCCAGTGTGTTTCCCAAGATTTTCTATGTTATCGATCATAACTTTAAAAAATATCATTCAGGTACATCTTGAGTCGCATATTTTGATACATGTTTTAATACTTTGTAGATATTCCTAGATCATGTGATATACTAAGTGATGAACATTCCACGTTAGAACCAAGTCGCAAAGATACATTGACTACTGCCTCTTCACGAGTAGTTTCCAGTAAGTTATGATTCTTCATTGTGCTTCCTTATATCCTGTCGAATAATACTGTTTTACTGAAATTATGAACCAATCAATGTTTGACTACTAATGAAAATCTGGATGGGCGTTTCGTCGCGCAATATCGTTCATTAGTTGCAGTTACATACTAACACCGTTGGGTGCCAGCTCAATGGTTTAGATGTTAAGCGTTCGCGCGCGACACCTAAGGTCCTGGGTTTGAGTCCCTCGTTCAGGGTTGTAGATGCTCGCTGCTGAGGAGCCCAATACCAGGACGAAACAACCTTCCAGTGCTTCCAGGTCTTTGATGATATTCTAACGTTAATCGGTTCATGACTTAAATGAAACTAAACAATCTCCACAACCCTATACTAATAATATTCTGTAATTATTCTTTTCAGAATATATATATATATATATATATATATATATATAATCGTAGTTAAGAATTTTGTCAACATTCATACAAAAGATTTTCTTAATAATGTCTTGAATTCCAACGTAATTACACACTTCTTACGTTGTGTCTTTTGATTAGCTACTAATGAGACTTCAAAATTACCTTCAACTGCATCAAACGATCAACTCGACGCAGCAGATCTACCTCGCTGTATTCTTGCTGGTGGCTCAGCTCTTGGATGGACTCATGAATCAATTATCATTTGTTGGCGTCGATTTTTAGGTATTCTAGGCAGTCTTCATAAAATTATTAACCCAACAACAATGAATGATATATTCAACTATTTAAATGAAATGACTTCATGTCTTTTAAAAATTAGAGCATATCAAAGTGTCCCTTCTGTAACTGAGACATGTGTACAACCAGTCCCACAATTTGTACCACCTGTGAATTTTATTGCACCAATATTATTTAATGTAAGTGTGTTAGGAAATATTTCCCAGTGTCAACTGTTGAATTGTTTGTGTTTTCATTTGATATATTTATATTATTGACTTCACACATTCTCTTTTCACAATTGGTTTAGTCATTAAATACAAAAGACTTATCATGATATCTTAAACAGTAAAAGTTTATATTAAGCTATTTACCTAAACTGGATACGTCAAAAAACCTATGTGTTATATCGTACAGTTTCCTTCTTAGTTAGTCTGTTATAGACAACGTAGAACTTGGCTAATATGTATATTGGTCTAAGTTCCTACATCATATCAGCACGACTAGATGAAATGATCAAAATTCATTCTAGGGTAGTAGAAGTCGCAATAATGTCATTGGTAGCAAAAGAAAACAAGACATAAACAGTATGAACTAAGAAGAAAGAACAAATCTGTGGGAACAAAAGTATGAGACGATTTCCCAACCCATCATCTAAGACTAGAAGTGAATGCATTTGGGTCATCGTTAAGCCGTGTAACTTGGCTGAATTATGATATAGTGTTACATTAAAGGTAATGCAATAGTTTTGGATGTTAAATGTAAGTCGTAGAAAAGCATAGGAAGATTTAGACCATTAGGTACTTTTTATTACTCACTGGCAAAAACGTTTTAATATGTAGTTATGTTTTATACAGTCGCTTACTAATAGTATTCGTTCGTAAAAAATTTTGAGTTATCAATGATAATATTAATAGTAATTGTCATTAGTAATTAGAGACGAATATATTTCACTCTCAATTCATATATTATTAGTGTTTTTTTCCTGTGATTCTTTATGTATGATTTATCTTCGGATCTTTTTTCTCCCTAGACAATCAGTCTTTCTGAAGAATTTATAGAAGCTAAAAGAATTGCTATACGTACACTATGTGATATAGTTATACGTTCTCATGATGGATGTCCTGACCAGAATTAATTGCTCATTTTTACCATCTTATTCATCAAATAAGCGTTGCAAAACAAGAGGTAATTCATTTGACCATATTATTGTTATTCATTTTGATATAAACCTAATATTGTTCTGTAAAACGTTTCACTTCTCTTAAACTGTATATGAATTCATGATTAAGCATTTTTTTGTGACTTATTTCATTATATTCAAAACGACATATGAATGTGTTGTAACGGGTGTGAGACTGCAGGTTTTGATAAGCAGTGTTTATATCGATCGATTACAGTGACACGGAAAACACGTACGGACGACCTAGTGCCCCGATTGGTCCCGCTTCGCAGTCTGTCCCAGCCAGTTGAGTCAGGAACACAAGTCACAGCCTCTGAGTTATGAATCATTATATTTCAAACATACTTTGTTTATATACCAATCAAGCATACCACATCGTACCATAAAATAGGAAACAACATTTACAAAATATTTAAGTGAAATAAACATCGACCAATAAGAAATGTACATTTAAGGTCCAAGGCCACCATAGACTTAACACGATAATTATTGGTATATTTTTCCGACTATCCTAACAGAATGGTAAACTGTAAAATTAGATCCCAGCAACACGTAGCAGTAGCTTAGTTCGTCTTTGAATTATAGTTACAAAAGTCCGAACCCTCCGTGAGGTGGTAGATCTCATACTTATAAAGTGTTTGTTACCATGTAAGCGGATGGGTACTTAGAAAATGAGTTAAAAGATTACCGTTTTCATTACATTTGTCAGAAATTGGAAGGAAATTTATCACTCGTACAACCACTTGGTTCCTGTACATCTCAGTTCTAAGCTCTATAAATAGCTATCTTCCACACTACCATCTGTTAAATGAATCATTTCGCTTGTTCATGTTCTTCACGAATTCGTTTGAGCTTAATATTTGTAGACACTTTTTTTCTAGCAGGGGATCGAACCAATGAAAGTGTACGGGTATTAAATCAGCAAGTATATAGACTATAGCTATACATTACTGGTGACAATGGCGAAATTGTCGTATCTTAGTATGTTTATAAACTATCTCCGTTTGTGAATCTAAAAGCATTTTTAGGTTCTACAAATATTTTATCTTTCCTGTTTTTAGAACTATGTCTTCGAAATTATCCGGTCATGTAATATGCGTTTGTTTGGATCTTCACTTCCATCTACACACTTACTCATACTAGATTTCTTAAGCGATGTCAATGTTGTTTTATCAAATCCCAACTGTGGCACGGAAGTGAGTACCTAATTTTATGAATACACGAATTCTCATTCGTTTTATCAAATTATGAATGATGATTTCGCCTTTGTGCAATGTTTTTTTTTGTTATCATAAATTAATCTCAATACCGTGTGGTATTAAGCTCTCCAGATTTTGGCAAAAAATTAAAACTATCTGGTATCCGTAGTGAGATAGATACGGTTTTTCTCAACTTTAATTTTGGTGCTGAGGAACTGTGCCGTTGAGATACTCTCATTACTATCTCATCAAATTACGTAATTTCATCAGCTATCGCCATTTCCCAGTTCTACTCACGGCTCTTAAATACTTCGGCAATCCATCATTGGAGAGAGATAAAGGGAGATGAAAAAGGAAAATCAAAACTTACGGGAATCTGGAGTCTGTATTCATTCGTTAAGAAATCTTGCGTACATAAGATTCTGGAATGGTTTTAACTTCAGCACATGTCTGTGGTGACCTAGGCCACAATAATAGCTCACTTATTAACAGCAGACTCATGTTCTTATTAACTAAATTACAATCTTTAACGAATATATGCTTATGAAACAAAATTTATGGATTCGTTTTTGTGTTGGTGTATTAAATCTTCGCTGTCTATATATATGACGTACTGGCAATAATATGAATAGAGTAAATTCATTTTCAGGTATTGAGTATAGTCCTTAAGTTTCACTTCCTAAGAATTAGTGAACCACCATAAATTTACAAAACCATGTGATACTCACTATGTTTTTTGATGATGATTACGTAAATTGTGTTGTTTTTTTACATTTGTTCTCCAGAACTACTTTCCAAGTGTATAGGTATTAATATTAATATTATTATGATTTTATCTTTTTTTAAAAGTTTGTTTTTGTTTATTAATATCAATAATTTTCATTTGTTTCTCTTGTTTTCTTAACCTAGATTCCACGTTCTGAAGCGATATCCATTATATTATCCCTACTATGTTATCCTTATCATTTTAATCGTCTTGAATCAATCGATCCGATGTCAATGAAAGCTAAAACTATTTTGTGTATAGATTTAACGGTACGTGTTTCCAGCTTTTTTAATTGCTTATACTTATATTATTATCATATTCAGACAAGAGAAAAACTATTATATATATATATATATATATATATATATATATATATATAGTTGTGATAGCACTATTTTAAATTGGTGCAATTGGGTTAGTGGTGATGATAATGAGGTTGGTGCATGTGATTCAACTTCTCTTTCTTTTCGTTATTGTTCTTTCTATACGTTCTTCTTGTATTAATTACCATTTATTCTTAACTCTTTATTTACTTTTATACGTAAAGCGGTTTTTATAAACACTTACTTATAAATGAGTAATATTAAGTGATCTCATTAGATCTGTTTTTTAATGTCACTAGAACAAATTTCTATAAATGATAATCTGCGTAATAGGTTGACATAAACCTTCTGCCTACTCGTAACGAAATTTATGGACCTATAGCTAACCTTAAGCGAGAAGGGGAGAGAGAATGAGAGGGAAAAGAAGCCTGACAGAATAAATTTTGAGATTATTAAAGATTCCAATCCTATTTTATCGGTTAGTTTGATTGATTTGTTAACTGTACTCTTAGAGTTAGAAAGGCTAGTTGAGAAAGATGATAAATTAGTTGATAAGATTGTAAATCGTCATTGTGGTGATCTGGGGTGATAACTTTGACCGACATACATATGTACTAGATTCTACATTGCTTATTACCAACTATATCTGATATTCAGCTGTGTTTTCGAACGATTTTGTCGATATTTTCGGTCAGATTTTCAATTATCATTATTCTGTTGGAGACTATCATATCATTGAGATACACATGCTTATGTTTTACATCTGTTACCACTAATCAAATGATAGATTTTCATAGGTTAAGTATTGTTACCAGTTTCTGTTCCTCCATAGCTGTACTAATATGTATGTTATGCCTAAATAAAGCTTTTAAGTTCTTATCTAATGTCGTTTTTCTGATAGATTGTTCAGCTAAAAGCTGAGCTTTACACTACTACACATGAGAATCGACCATAGATTGCGATGCTGAACTGGTACACAATATTCCTGCATGCATTGTTCAAAATGACTTGTTTTCTAAGATTCATTCGATTCATGGTTTATATAGTTGGTGTGCCTTGCGAATTTCTTATATAGAATGTTCAGTTCTGTTAATTGTTGAACTTGATTTCATAAACTGACTGTTTAGAGTTTACGTAGTATGGATTGTTCCGAGATACAAGATCAAATTACTCTTGTTCGTAACAATTCATGTTTTATTTATGGTTTCATGGACAGGAAGTATTTTTAATAATTTATGAAAGTGTAAAATTTACTTTGCTGGAATGTGTTGATTACCGAGGAAAATAGCTGTAAACCAGCCAAGGTTTACTCAACATTATCATTTCTCTTTTTATCTTTTGGGCTTAAAATAATTGTCCACTGTCTGAATTTAGGATGTGTAATCTGCACATACATAATACATTTATTGTGTTTCTGATTTTCATTTATTTATTGCCGTAATCGGAAGGTCTGGAAATCATGTTTGTGCTCATTAGTTTATGGTTTTTACTAAGACGATTGCTCCAAGAGTTTCATGTGTGTCCGCTACAAAACTACTATATTTCTACCGACTGTATAACTATTCTTATGGATCAATGTTCTCAGCACTGTCCATTTTGTGATGAGCCAAACATGTTCTCCACAACTAATGGACCTTCCTATTAATCTTTTACATATTGAATTTTTTAAAATCTAGTCAAAATTGGTTCGCAGTTTAAAACAAGCTGTCTTGTCAGATCCATCTGGAGAGGTTCGATGCCTGGCTATTACTGGTTTATCAATTTATTGTGTCATTGAACTAGTGAATTCATTTTCAAGGGAGTCAGGAACTGTATCATCTGTCAATTTTACACCAATGGACGATTTGTTTTTCGAATCCATCATAATTTTATTAGGAATGATGCGGTTTCAAAATAGGGCCGTATCTATCGTTGCAGTTGAGATGATCAATACACTCGCTGAATATTGTCATCTTCTGTTATATCGCGATGCGAAATTACCCTCCCTAGTGTTGTTGGTAAGTTTTGCCCAATTTATTATTGTATCTTCAACGAAGAATGTTCAAACAGTTTATGTTACTTTTTTGTTATTGTTTTTTTAAAAAAAAATATAAAACAATTTGATTATTCACAAGTATTAATAATATATCTGGACTAATATTTGATGAATACATTGGTAGTAACAACTTGAAATCTGACACAGTAGTTCATTCTCTTAACTTTCCTAAGCTTTACATGATTTCAACAAGTAAATAACGTTATTTTTTGCTTTCAGTTCTTTTGCCTCTTAAGTTTTAAAGTAGGAAATGAAGAGACTTGATTTCCATACGAGTAAATGTGTCTATATATATATTGATCGTTATCAATCTCGAAATTGTTCACATACAGTGTACTACACTGATCAGAGGATTGAATTTCATAGGTTAATTATTGTCACCACTTTATATTCTTCCATAACTGTACTTATATATATGTTACATCTAAATAAATGCTAACTAGTGCAAATTCATGGAAATCAGAATTCACTTGTCATAGTTTACTTTTTTTTGTATACCTTTTCACTCAAATTGTGATATTGAACATCGTAAAAAATGTCACTTACCCTCAAGTTCATAAGCCTCATGAGTTTGACTAACAGTTTAGTTGTTTTGAAAATGTGAAAATATATACGAACATCGATTGTGACTAGTTGTTTCCATTTATCTTATTGAATTTGATTGTGGTAAATATTAATAATATAGTTTATTTGTTTGCATTATATCACTTTTCATCAATTATTCAAATTAATGATTATTAAGTGACATGGTTTTTTTTATACTTTTTTGTGTTATAATATGTAGATTGTTTTTAAGCCTTAATAATGTGGTATTTATTTACTAATGTTAATACTATACATGCTCATCTGTTTCTTTTTTTTTCTATTTCACATAGTCACTTGCATGGACTTTATATTCTACATGGGACAATACAAATCTTGACAGTATGTCATTAACTGATAAACAGGTAGGTCAAGTATATAAATATATATATAAAAATCCACTGAACAATATTGCTTTCTCATATAATGGTTTATAGAGATTATTTAATTCTGTTGTGTACATCACGAAGTGATCTCAGTTAAATTACTTTTAAAAACCAGGAAGAACTGGAAATCAGTTTTGTTCTAGTATGGGACTCTTCAGCAGTACTCATCTTTAATCCCACTATGGATCAAACCTACAATTTTTTAGGTCTTGAGGTGATCAATCAACTATTAAACCACTAAGCAACCATTTAGTCTTCTAACCTTACTCAATTCGTGGAATTTTGTAACCATTTGTCGATTCCATTGGTGCATATCTGTCTTACATCCGACATTGTTCAACTTTGCTAGTCACAATCGTTCAGTACTTTATGGTTTTCAATGGTTGTCTGAATAAGATCATTTTGTTACGTGAAACTATAAATTATTTTTCTTTAGTTAACGCGGCTTTATCAATCTTGGTAATTAATAAGGATTTTCTTGTAAATCATTCACTTCCAAACATAAGACTTTATAATGCTAGCCTGTAATGTATACAAGGAGGTGGAAATCGATTAATCAGATTGAAATGCCAAGTAAAATAATATAGGATATTATAACCGATGGTTCCAAGGTCACAAAAAGTATGCGTACTTGAGTTAAGCAATGGTCGTGATAAATGCTGACTGCCTAATGACTAGACAAAAAGAATTTAGTGAAAAGATTCTTCATATTCAAATATTTTTACAGTTAGATAAATAGCGACTGGCTTTTACCAAATTTCAGTATTTCCCAACAATACAGTTAATTTAAGAATGTTATAATTCCATCTTGTCGAACAACAGCATTAGCTGTCTCCCTTTGCCTTAAATGAATGTCCTTTAGAATTAGACCTATCAGTAATCTATAGCATATTTTTGTTATTTTCTTCAAATTCGTTCTATTACTACTTTTAATGAGATTTAAAAGTTTGATCAGTTTTTGTCATGATATATAAGATTGGTGTGATAAATGCGTCATTTTTTCCTTGGAACGTTTAACTGTTCTTTTAGCCCAATTGTTTTGTTCTATGGTTTTTTTTATTAAACATTACTCTCGTTGGATTTTTATACTGATCATATCTCCACTTATTCCTTCCGTGATTTGACTTTTCCACAGTTCTTTCATAGTCTTATTCAATCAATTATCGAATGGTCTATCCGTATACCGTATGATCAATTAATACAGAATTTTGAAAATAAATCAGAATTAAAATTATTACCGGCATCGAATTTATTAGATACAATAATTGAAGTGTTATGCTTCATTATATCGAATAATACAAATTCACAAACTTTAATGAATTCAGTACAAAATTCCAATTATCCTCAATCTAAAATCTTATCAAGTATTAACTTTACAGATCCTTTAGGAGAATACATTAATATATATAAACAGTCAATTGATATTAATTTATTCAATGTAAGTTATATACTTTGACAGTTTTTTCATCATAATATTTTTTATTTTTTCAAATATATATACAACCGATCAAACCATTATGTTTACTTTTATTTCTATGATGTAAAATATATCCATGTATAAGTTTAACAGGTTGTCATATGCTTCCAGTACAGTTCGATAACTCTATAGTGCATCATCGAATGAACTTTAAAATACTTCCACGTTATGTATGTAATGGTTTAATTTAAAATAAAAGTTCATATTATAACTGTTGAAGATGAATTCAACATAGATTTGTTGATTATCAACTTCGCATAATGATTGCGAAAGATAGAGATTTATTGCCCAAGTGGATGATTTTAATAGAGTTTGGTTCACTGAGTTGAATAGTTTAATTGGCAAGCTTTCATTGTTCTTCTAAACATTATCAGCATAAACTTGAGGTAGAAGTGAGGTTTTCGAATTTCCCTACATATGACTGAAAGCTTGTCCTATCGACCTCCATCTTGGTTGGTTATTGTTGATCTTTGACTTGTTTGTGTCTGCAAATTTGTTTTGATTACCTCTCGATATGATCAGGACAACAATAACTAATCAATGTCAAAGTCGACAGGACAAGCTGCCAGTCAGATATGAAGATATTTGAATACTTCTTCTACCTGAAGGTTATGTTGATGATGATGTTCGTAAGAAGAATGAAAGCTTCCCAACTCAATGAATGAAACTTCATCAAAACTACAAAAGAATATGAACTGCACTACACCGTTGATAGGCTTGAAGATTGTTACATTTTGTACCAAACAGCAAAAATTTGTATCATATAAATGGTTACATTTGAAAATAAAATGTTGTAACTGGTTGTTTGTACATCATGGATATTGTTTCTGAATCTGATATTCGACAAATTTTGTGCCTAAAGAAAGCTTTATAATTAGTCAGTCAGTCGTATGCAACATAGTATCTGACATCGTGATATGTACTAATTTACTCATATTTCCATAGTTCTATTTACTTTAGTGTTCAACTGATTTTATAAATCATATTTTCGATGCACCATTCATTCATCATCAGAATATACCAGTTCTCCTTCATAGTATTAATTATTCCCAAGTTCTACCTTATACCATTAATATCCTCTTGAATTAATTTATAAAATACATCATTCTCAACAATTTTAACTTTATATCTCTGTTTTTTACATGTCATGTTGCTTTTTGTATCAACCTGATCATGCATATATATATTGGGATATATTCTGTGATTATCTCCACAATACAGTTTATCAATAAAATTATAATTTAGTAATTATTTCTGTTTAATTTTATTTTTGTACAAATTGTAGAGTTTATTATTAATATAGAATAAATGTATATACTCAGTTCGCCGGATTAATACCATGGAAATCATTTTATAAGCTATATAAATTAAATTTTAATTGTCATGTGATTTTCACTCTTTCTGTTTTTAGTTAAAACGTTCTCTATAGCATATTTATTGACAAATCAATACACAACAGTTTTATGTGTATCGTAATACTTTAATCTGTACATTGTGAAAAATTTCTGTCTTATTGAAAACATTCTTTTTTACTCAATAAAAGTCATCTGATTTGATAATAATAATAGTAATATCAAATAAATGTTTTATTTTCTGTTTGAGAGATATAATAAACCTCGGTGTTTTTATAATGGATTGTTGATTTAATCTTTAAAATATTTCAATATCCTTACGTACTTACTTATGCCTGTTACTCCCAATGGAGCATAGGCCGCCTACCAGCATTCTCCAACCCACTCCGTTCTGGGCCTTCCTTTCTAGTTCTATCCAATTTTTGTTCATTCTACTCATTTCTGTCTCCATTTCTCGGTGTAATGTGTTGTTTAGTTTTACTCTTCTCCTTTGGCCTTCAGGATTTTAAGTGGGGGCTTGTCTTGTGACGCAGTGAGGTGCTTTCCTCAATATGTGTCCTATCCACTTGCAGCGTTTCTTCCTCCGCTGTGATCTGGTTTGTTCTCTCCCATAGTACGTTGCTGCTGATAGTGTCGGGCCAACGGATCCGAAGTATTTTGCGTAGATTTCATTATCCTACTTTTCATTTATTTTTCAAATTTTGTACCTCAATTATTCATTATATTTAACTTTTAAATGGCATTGACATATGTATATTTATTGGTTTTTATAGGCTCCAAAATCTGACCTAGATCTATCCACAATGACAGCAAAGTCTTGGATTGTAGCTAACGCAGAGAGTAGTATGATTCTATATCATTATAATGATTATATGAATAGTGCAATGGAGTCAGTACGACTAGCAGCACGAATGGCAATGAGTCATTTACTCAATCATATAGACCAGTTTCCAATGGTAGGTTTTTTATCAATCAGATACTTTGTAATGTGTTTTTTTGGTGACAGGAGGGATCTCAGTAAATTATGAATTTAAATCTCTGATTGTGAGTGATTATTTGTTTTACTATTACTTAAGCTTAATCATATGCTTTCCAAACAGATATGAAAAAGTCAATCTGCAATAAAGTCATGTCACTAAAATGAACAATCAGGACAATTATTTTGTATTTATTCTTTGTATTTAACGAACTGGATCAAATCAGTAAAACAAAGACAAGGTGGAATGTGAGAAAGCTGCATCGATAAACATATTGATTGTCTAGAAGAAACACCTTACTCTTTTCACCCCCTGTATATTTGGCTCTGATGATGAGCTTACTGTTTTTAGTCTTAACGTTCTCTAACCAACCTGTCGTGCATGATATAGCCTAAAGGAACAACTGTCCCACCTAATATGTCTCGATTATATCATCATGATATTCAGGTCTGACCATCACGTCAAGTTAATAGCTCTTATCGGGATCGAATTAGTATATTTCCAGATAGAATCCTTGGAAAATGTCATATGTATTACAGGAATGCTCTCATTTTTTGTTTAATCTCCATTAAGAAGTCTGGGGTAGCGTTCAGCGAACTTTCCGCACAAACACAGAGAGCCCTGTTGGAGTTTGTCAACTTGCTACTCTTGTGTTAACTGCGTGTATACTGCTCAACAGTTCGCTTTGGTCTACTTTACGGTTATGAAACGTGGTTTATGAAAGTATAAGACATGCGTAGGGTGAAGATTTCTTATCATGGGTGTCTTCAAAACATTACTGGTGTTTCGTGGAACGACTGGATTAACAATGTTGAAATTAGGCCTAGGGTACTTATCAAAGGTGACAAACCGGCTAATTAAGTACTGAATCTTCATGCACTAAGGTTGTTTGACGTATGTAACGTATATCTAACTATCAACAACCTCAGAAATCATTGCCTACCAGAATTGTTCACATTGGTGCAAATTCATTTACTCTTTATCTTCCCCTCGATCTTGAGTTCCAGTATCGTTTCATATTTACCGTTCTACTGTTTTTTTTTGAAACCTTATCCCTGCGGTTTGACCTTGCTGTTTATTATTGACACTTCATTATTTCAATCTCTTTTGTCGCTTTCATCTCGTGCTAATCAGGTATGACCCTGTCTTCTATTCACTGATCACATTATTATTATTAGTAGATTGAATACACGTTTTAAACTTTAATATAAATCAGTAAGGGGAAATGTCCATATAGTTCTGTTGTCACGGGCGGTGTCCAAAATCTAATACTGACACACGGTGTGCTATTCTCCCCCCTCCCCAACTGACTACTTAGGCGAAAAAGTGTATTGGGCTACGTAATAAAATGCACAAATACTCATTCTTATATATACCACTCTAATCCTTAGGAACTTAATCCATTTCTTACCGAGTGAAATGCACCCATCCTTTAGGTCACTTCTGTTTGCTATCGATTGACCTTCTCATTAGTATACTTCTGATTGACTCCCAATATCACATTTCCCTCCTGAAAAATAAGTTATGCGTCTTGGATTTAAATAAAATGTCATCTTGATGATTTCCTTAGGATCTGGCCATCACTTCTGCTCCGATCCTGTTGCTCAAAATTGGCTGTATCAATTAAATAATCTAGTTGCAAGTTCAAGCTAGGAGGTTTTTTATCTTAATTTAATCGTCTCTGGTGGGTATGGTTTATGTCACCCATTAGTAAACTGATGTTCAATTCTCTTCGCCTTGGGTTTATAATCTCATCTTCTTCTTTGTGGATACATGTTATCAACTGAAGTCCGAATCTTCCTTCCGAACATTGACTCAGCAGCGGAGACACCCTTAGGTAAAGATTTCGCCAGTCGTGCCCTTGCCTCGTGATTATCTTCAAAGTTACTAGAAAATTGCTACCTCCCTTTGTGTTATAACTTTTGGCTTGTGTGTCCTGTTAATGTATAACGTAATGATACCGCCAATTGGAGCAGTGAATTATCGATCGGACCAATGACACATAAAACCCGTGCGAGATGTCTAGAGTTTTTATCGGTCTTGCTTCCTGCCTAGTTCAGCCACTTAAATCCAGAACACCAATCTCAGTGTCTGCGACATAAATCGTTTATTTCAAAACGTACTGGGTTTATATACCAGACAGACCACATCGTACCATAAAATAGGAAACAACATTTGTACAAGATTTAGCCAAAAGTGGCTGTGAGTGTGGGAGATAGTTATTAATAGGCGGGACATAACTCGTATAATAATAGTTCATAGGTTAAAATAAAGCTCATATTAAGAGGGACATAAATATGAACAGTTTAATTATTTAACAATTATACGATAAAATTATACGCATAGTATTGGTCCATAAATTTACCCCAAAAGTTACCATTCATTATGCTTATCGGGGCATAACACTTTGTGAATCGTATGAGGGTATGGACATACTTGATTGCAAATCAAATTGGATGACTGATCGAGCATTTTTCTAATATGGATTACAAATTAGATTAAATAGATAATCAAACATTTTTATTTATGTGATCCACTCAAGACCTACTAGGTTCAAGGATTCATCAGTAACATAGCATTTAGATTTGATTATTAGATAAATACATTCGACTGTACATTTGATAATTTCAGAAATTTTGATTGGAATGCCTGATGTATTCTTTATGCAATCGGTAGTAGGACCAATGCTTGGCCGACCAAGTCTGTGCTAAGTTTTGCGAGAAATCAAAGTAACATCGAATGCAGTTTCCAACTGCAAAGTGATAATACGACCATTAACATTGATGGCTAAATACTTGCATAAGCTTTGGGGGTCATGCCCCTCAGTCCCAATAACTATTTTGAATGCAACTTAGAACTCTTGCATTGCTCATTAACAAATGCTGCATACGAAACAAAATCATATTCAGGTCTCTTAACAGTTCTAAGACAAGATTATAAACACAGGGCGAAGATCATTTAACATCAATGAACTAATGAGCTACCAGTATACATGAGAAACTTTCGACATTTGAGACCTACATGGGTAGCGGATATCATCTTAATAATCGGTGACGCGATGTCCTATGTTAGTATAACAACTTTGATCTTCAAAATTAATATGAATGCACGTGTTGTACGAATTAGATTAGTCACTGGGTCACTCTCATTCTCATCTAAAGTTCATTGGAATTTATTGAGACTTGTTTGAATTTACATATTTCAAACATTTTATTGTTTACAGAATCAGTTATTAACATTCCCTAACATTTGTCATTATGTAAATGTTTGAAAAAATGTACATACATGTGTACTTTTTTAGTCGAAACAATGTGTACAACTGAATACATCCATACAAGAACGTCATGATCAGTTATCCCATAGTATATCATCTGCTCAAAAACAATTCACTACTAACAATCATAATAATATGGATGATTTATCCGAATTAACAGCGGAGATTTTTGAACGAAATAATTTACAAATATTTGTGTTAGATCGTTCAATTATATTGACATTCCTATCATTACCCATTGTGAAACTGCCTGACCAATTGAGAAATATCAATGATAGCTTATTACCTACTACAGTTAGTAGTGATAAGGACAATACTGAACTACAAGTACTCGAATTCAACAATTCCACCTATTCTTATCTACCATTATCATATTTAAATTCTAACGATGTCGAAGTGGATTCATCAAAGTCTAGTTTGGTAACAGGTATCCATTTTGTGTTTATCCGACTGTTTGTTATTAATTTTATGAGTTTTGATGTATTCGTTGACTTATTTGGTACCAGTTAATCATTTACAATGTCTCATCACAAAGTAGAAACTAGTATATTCTTTATTATTATCATCATCATTATTTGTATCCATAGTGCTGGTCAAATCCTTTCTATTGATTAAGGATTGTTGTAACTAGTCTAAATGACATGATATTATGTCCTGAGTAGCTCATAGTCAGTGTCTTTGACTGAGAAACTATCATCCAAGTTTGAATCCTATGTAAATGATTATCCCTTGCTGATCAGTGCCAGCAAGCATTGAATCTAAATCTAAGGTTTCCAACCAATTACTTTCAATCACTTAAACACCTAATTTGTTTCCGCTTGATATTATGAAATGCATTCAGTTCATTGTTATTGTACCCTTTCGACTAAGTACATACATAAAATTCATTGTATTTGCTAAGTACTGTGTTTTGTTTCACTTAGTTCATGTGTAATAGCAGTTTAAAGTGCGGTAATATTTTCGTAGTTCACATCACAGACTGATCTTAGTTGAATAGCTATTGATAACCTGGGGAGGTTTGGTAGTTGTTTCGCCCTATTATGTGACTCCTCGACAGTCCACGACCCCACAACAGGGAATTGAATTCAGGACCTTCATTATTGCTTGCTAACTCCTCACCTCTAGACCACTAAGCCAGGACCCAGTGTTGTACTTGTCTGAATTCAGTCGGTTCGTGAAATCGCGCGGCGATTTCTCATTGCCTGCGTCAGACGATTGTCTTACACCATTGGATGCCAACTCAACCGCACGCAAGATCAAAGGTCGTAGGTCCAACTGTGGGTCGGATCATAAGTGTACTTTGTTGATTAGTCCTACATTAGAAAAAAAACAACTGTGTAGTGCTTCCTGGTTTTTAAAGATTGTCTAGCTAACATTTGTTCGTCGTCCTAACTATAAGGGTTTTACGATACCCAGTTAACTACTTTTTGAGAACGCTTCTAAACTCAACCAATTATAGGTTTCTATTTATTAGAGAAGAACGATTGCTCAGGTGTAAGATTACTCTTTCATTCCTCAATTTGTCATAAATGCATTTTCAGATAGTGATTTTTCAGTTGACGCTTCATTTTTTAATGATTTTGTTGGTTCACTGAGTCTACAAATTTTAATTTTAATAGAAAACTATTATGAATTGTTTTATGTCTTTATATGTATGCCAACATGTACATAGTTCTCAAATATTTTACTATATCATATTATTATATTATTTTTCATTCAGATAAATTCTATACAAGAATTATTACACGTGATCTATCTGGTAAATATAGTTGGGATGTTTCTTATTTATATGCTAGTCTAGTTGATATGAAAGAAAAACAGGAAACTCAACAATTGAATGGACTTACAAATACTAATTTACGACTGGTTGATTCTGATAATTCGAATTCACACTTGATTACACGCGATCCACCACCATGTCCTCCTCCAAGAGTAAATCCGCCCCCACTGACAACTAACAGGTTAACACCAAATACAATTGATCAACTCGATCGGCTAAGTGACGTAAGTTTGTTATACTTATCAAAACTGTTTCTTGTTAGTATGAGGTTGTGAAGATTGTTGGATTTGATTGAATTTGGATGTGTGGCATTACCCACCACAGACAACAGAAGATGGTCTCGCGATATCATGCATTGATTGAAGTTAATCGTTAACACTGTTATACTCTGTCTCATTGATCTCGAGGCTAAGCGATCGTTCACGAAACCAGTCTTTTCTCCGGAATCATGGATGCAGTGCTGAGGATTCCCATACCAGGATAAAACGCCCGTTCACTGCTTTCACGTTCTCGATATTGGTCTAACTTGGATCGGTTCATGATTTCATTGTAACTTGTTTCTTCTGTATACCGCTGTTTTTCAATTTCACTAGAAAAAGTATTTACGGAGCGTTTTGTCATTTACATTAGTACCACTTTCCAATTTAGTCTTGTTTTTTCTTCAAGTACTACTACTAATGTATCACTTTATTATATAAGATATTTGAATCGTGAAGATTGAAATCACAAACCAAAACCATTGAAAACCTGTAAATATTAGACGTGCAAGTACAGAACTCCTCATCAGTGCTCATCTGCGACCTGGAAACAAACTCAATATCGTGGATTTATTGATGTTCAACTTGTACATTAATAGACCCCAGTTCAATGATCTAGAGGTCAAACGTTCGCACCCGAGACTGAGAATCCTTGGCTCGATTCGTGGTTGCGAAGTTAAAAATGTTCACTGTCGAATTATCTCGTACTTAAATAGAATAGATGTCCAGTCCTTCCCAGTTTTAAATGTTGTCCAACTTAGATCGGTTCGGGATATCAATGAAATCCAACAATCTCCACAACCCTATACTGTCGTAAATAATATGTTCAAACCTTGGTCAGTATTATATAGTAATTTCTGTTTTTATCTAACCATCATACAAAACAAAATGATTCTCTAGTCAAGGTATTAGTTCATGATTAGATCCGGCTGTTATTTCTTTTTTCAAAGTTTTAAGTGTTGTTCAAGTTACATAAATAATCATGTGATTTAAAAAAACAAACTAGAAACGCAGTGTCATGGTAAATATATAGTGTGTAGTGTTCTCGTTATCACTATCCTTTTTATTGCTATTTTTACTAGGTTCTAAGAGATTTGGCAATAACTAGTCCAGAATGTTCAATTAACTGGTGCACATCAAAGCTATGTGAATATGAAAATTCGAAAAATATTTCTGACAAGGAAAAAACTGCTTGTTTGAATATGGAGAAAGTGACATGTGATCAGATTACTGCTCAATATCAAATAGATGAAAATGTGAATCATCGAAAGTTACCAGATATAGATGTGTACGTATGGAAATTATGTATCTAATGTTTTTTTTCTTAATCAATTCTACAAATTTCACCGAACTAGTATCAAATTAATGTGATTGTCAAGTTTTCTATTGTACATTCAGTTAGGACTCGATCAATCATATCAACAAAATAACTTATGCTATGATTTTTTTCCACATATATTCAATCATTTTGATGCGATACAACTAGTGACATCATCGAAAGCTAGTTGTGTAATATTGTAAATTGATTGAAGTTAGACATGTGAATCACTAGACCGTCTGCTCCATGTTCTCAAAGCTAAGCCGCTGTCACGAGGTCTCAATGTCATGGTTTCGATCCTCGAGAGGATACCACAGTAGTAAAAAGTTCATACTTTTAATGATAACACTTTCATCTGACTTTTCAGGGGTTGTTCTTTTACCAAGACGTTCACTTGTTGACTCTAAGTTTGGAGATAAAAGTTTTGGTTGATGAAAACGCTGACGAAATTCACTCTTTGACCACTTTAAATAATAATGCAACCATTTTTGGAATGTAGTTATCTTTCTTTCAAGTTCAAAATCTTGCTTCACGACTGGCTTGCGTCAGCTCATGAATAAATGACATTAGGTGAAGTAGTTGGACGCATCGATTGCTTTACTTATCTTGGGAGTCTTATCAGTCCTGACGATCTGGTGTCCAATGAACTCACGGCACGGATTTAAAAGGCTCGATTAACTTTTGCCAACTCTCCTCACTTATGGCGTAGGCGAGATATCTGTCTATCAAGTAAAGGACGAAATTACTGCACAGCAGTTTGCTCCGTTCTACTTTGTGGGTGTCAAACATGACCATTAAAAGTAGGGTGTAATCATAGTTTACTGATTTTTGATTATATGTATTTTTGAAGTATTAGTCGTGTATTTTGGGACCACAGAGTAAGCAATGATTGTGGTAGGAGTAAATATTTAGAAACACTGAAAAAAAATGTCGATTCATTCAGCTTGTCATACTTCATGTTAATATACAGACAATAAATTGACCAAATAATAATAAATATTTCGAAATACTAGTGCTCACAATAAAAATTAGTCACTACAAAAATATGATTCACAAGGAACAAATAAAGTTAACATATATCCTATTTAAATACCATAGAAAGATCAAAACATATTTATAAAATGAAGCTTAATACATCAAACTACTCTAATTGATGTATGTAATTGCTTCACCTACAGTTAATCCATTATTAGCCAATTCTCAAAGTAGGCAATAACTACAGACATCAAATAAAATCTCTTAATCACCTAAATCAATAAAAGTTTGCAGCTAATTCACTACATCATCTGTCTACAACCTTACACGTGATCCTAACAATAATTCTAAAACACATGCATAATCTACCTTATTTTTTGTTTGTTTACATTTCATAAAATTACGCAAAATATACTTTTATACAATATACTTGTTATTTGATGAATATGCATATATTATACCATCATAAGTTATTTCAATTGGTAATAAAAATTTCAGATTATTTCGATATCCATACCTGACCGAAGCTGCTACCTTGACGCGGTGGTAGGGCTTGCCTATCGTGATGACTCAACCGAGCTATATTGGCTGGAACATATGTTCCTGTAGGTTCTACCATGCCAGGCAGATCGATTGGAGAACAGTTAGACTAAAAGCAGCAACTCAAGGTCTGAGGGCGAAGTCGTACTGCTGACTGTAGAGGGGTGTGACAGCAGTAAGGTGTTTCCCTCGGAAAGCCAGCATCTACAGCGATGCTACCTTCCCACAAGGAGGGGTGGGGTTAGAAAAGGTCGACCCTAAAAATGTCACATCTTCTTACCTCACGGATTTCCGTATCCGGCGGTAAGGCCCTTTGAAGAGCGGAGCTAACACATTAAAAACCTTCCACGAAAGGGCCGTGCGCGACCGACTTCAGGCAGTTGTCTCTTGGGCTCTGCGGTCACGCTACCAGGTCGTTAAGACCAACACTAATCCGACTTCTTTTTCAGGTTCCTCAAGAAATACCCTTCGACGGTGTGGGCAGCCTGTAAGTGATATCAGCCCTCATACCCGTAACAGCGCACGATATCCATGCGAAAAATTCATCTATTACCAGATCATTTCATCAAGTAGATTAATCATTTATTACCGCTGTTTACATGGGGTTTTTTCAATAAAAATCTATGTCGACGATCCCATCTTCATTGGAAACTAACTCTTCAAGTTTATTATAAACATTTGCTATTTTATTTACAATGCTAATTTCTTCATGTTTGATTTTTATTCTTTTCTTTACATTGATTCCATTAGATTATCACTATATAACTCTCATATATCTTTACCAAAAACTGGTTATAGAAATTCTCTGAAGTATACAATACGTTCATTGATCAATGATAAGAAAGTAAATGTTCAAGAATTAGAATCAATGAAACAAAATACTTTACAATTTCATAATTCGCGTCATTTATTAAATCAACTAGGTTATTTATCTTGGAAGCATAGACCTACCGTTGAATTGTTACAAATATCTCCAGCTCTTATACGTGAATTAAAACATTTGGATAATCTTGGATCGTTAGTTCATTTTAAATTTTTAAAATCTTTTTTTTTTAAATTTCATTGGAAATTTTTTTACTGTGATGATAGGGGTTGTAATCGATTATCAGTTCCCCCTTAAGATGACAGGTACGGCTTGCTAACCGGTTCTAACTATGATATGAAACTTAGGTTCAAGGCTTTGTGTCGGCTGTCTCCAACCTAACTGACATCTCAAAATAGTAATGTCAATGTTAGAAATCACTTAGATTAATTATTATAGTGTAAATTTGATCGATCGATTTCGATCAGCGCCAAATCATTATACAAACATGAAATTAGTCACTATTCAGTTCTTGTAGAATCTCAGTTTTAAATACAATGCATCATTGTGTATTTCCTGGTGTTTCATAAGCATAGAATCTATAGTTTGCTGTCATCAGATCATATCATAGTTGTCATCAACTGATAATGGTATGATGTATGATGTTCACTGTAAATCATTAAATTGAGAATATTTTATCACTGATAGATAAGTTGTGATAATTGAAACTAGTCAAATTGATATGCCAACCAGGAATTCCTAAAACTATCAGATAGAGCTCGTTGAGCACAATTTGAATTAATTGTATTTGAAGTTCGAATTAAACGCAGAATAATGTACAAAGAAATAGTCACTCAGCACAAAAAATATTGACAACACCGTTTTCAGATATATGAAGGCTTGTGCTTCCCCGTTGTTGATGTACTAAGGTCTATAATTTATCATTCTTTGATTCACTTATAGATATCCTGAGCGTATTGCTTCAATGATATCATTTATTCACAAGTTTTGATTATCGTTGGTTAGTAGTGGCTAGCATTCAAATATAGATACTCAGTATCCCAGGAGTATATCTCGGTCGGAACACTAAAACTTCGATACAGGTGCCTCTAGTCAATAAGCCACCTAAATGAAATAGGCGTCCTGAATTCTTTTTTAATTATTGATAGTAATTTTTAGTTTGGATAGATGTTGATTTTAAACACTTTTTTCTGATTGAATATCCATGCTAATAGGTCATGAATTCACGTATGGCTGTATGTATGTAACCATATATGTGTCTATAATTGTATTGATATTGTTCTATATATTATTTCAGGCGAGAAACTCATAAACTTGCTATATTCTATGTTGGAGCAGGACAAGAGGATAAACAGTCTATTTTATCAAATCAAACGGCTAGTTTAGAATTTGAAAATTTTGTAGCTGGTCTTGGCTGGGAGGTTGATTTACTTAAACATAAAGGATTTCGTGGTGGGTTAGAATGTAGTGGACGTGCTGGTTTATCCACACCATATTATGCAACATCTACTTTAGAAGTTATTTTCCATGTTTCAACAAGAATGCCTTCATCCACTCAAGAAGATTTAAAAGTTAGTTTGCGTTTTATTTTCTTTTGCTCATATTTTTACTCTGTCGATCTGTTTAGTTTATTTGCTGGTTAGTCCACTCAAACTTGTCTGTCATTTGCTCCATGACTTTTAGAAAACATTAGCTTGGTAGATATAGTCAATAAATTATCAGCTTAATGAAAAGTGAAATATTGGTTTCTTGTAGAATTGGTGCAGTTTACTGAAGAGTAATAAACTTAAACATATACATGACATTGACACACCACCAACGATTAGATGCTTCATTATCAACTATTTTTATGACTATTTCTAACTCCAGTCTGCACTAAGTTTCCAAACTTTCTGCGTTTATTGCATACGAGCAAAATAAATATATAAATCATAGAAAATAATACCATAAGTACTGTGGTGGGTACTACTCAAAAGATTGATTATAAGTAGTATATAGCAGAGTGCCGTATGGGAGTTTCTGCAGTCGACAACAAATACAGGATAGTCAGAAAGCCAAAAGCACAACGAGTTCACAATACTTATGAGATAAGATGAGAAACTATAGTAGACAGTTTACAACCAGTTGGGTTGCGGAACACAGAACAGATGCAAATGAAAGTGTATGCATTTCATAAACAATCCATATTTGCTCTAAATAAATACATATATTCTATCTGGATTTGATTCGTTCGTCCGTTTTAGTGCTTTCCAAGACAGTTTAAAATAGTACCATATATTCGACGATACTTGGAAATACGAACTCCCGATATATTATACCCTATATATGTGTAGTTGGTATTGATTTTCAGTCTTCACATAAATATCGACTTTCAGATGCAGGTGTGTCTTCCTGATGAGTCCCTCGTAACGCGAAACGGTCGTCTTGAATTATAGGGCTAGCCCAAACTCATCTGTTTTGTATCTAAGGTTGTTTTAAATGAGCTATTTGAATCTTTTAACTAATTTACTGCCCATAGTTACATCAGCAATAAAACTTCACCGTCTATAATCCCTGCTCAGATTGGTTATTTACACTACATCCAACGATATTTAGTAATCATTTGTGTAGTGTACATTTTTACTTCTTATCTCATTTAATGCTATAAAATTTTTATTTTTGAATACATAATGACTTATTTATTGTATTGTTTGATCCGATGGTGGATTTGATATATGTATTTTTTTACCATTGTATCACTGTACATGGTCGATTTGGAACATTAACTTTTCATATCCCTTTTTTGATTAAGCGCATAAACACTTCAGGTTTGTAACTTTTTTGTTGATTATCACCCATCTAGGAATACATCTCTTGGAGATAAAATACAAATTATTGTATGTGATTTTACACTTCAGTACAGTCATCGTAATTAATTTGGTGATACACCTAAGTTCTTGTTACGTCATACGATTAAAATTGTCAACTAGTTTTCTGAATAACGCTAAATATTTTAAATAACAGAAAGTTTTTTTTGTAAAATTCCTAGTTCCTGATACATCATTTTACATAGTCTAGACTAAATAAACAAATTTATACATCACTTTCATTGTTGAATGACTTCCTCACAGTTCTTTTTTCTTCCAAATTAATTCTTTTTTTCTAATGCTACCAGTATAAACATTTGGGAAACGATGAAATTATGATTATATGGAATGAGAATTCACGTGCTTTTAGACGAAGTATATTACGTACACAATTCGGTGATGTATTAATCATTATTTCACCTTTACTTAATGGATTGTTTAAAGTTGAAGTACGACGTGAAGCCCAGGTTTGTCACATCGACTAGATTATTTTGCATTTCCCGTTGATTATTTTCTGTTTTTCATTTCTTCCGCTATTTGATTGGTTTTCTCAGTCTCCCACATTGGCCAGACATTTTATCTACCTCTATTAGTTTTTACTCTGGTTGTCAGAAGAGGAGTCGTCGACCTCATAACGTCTGTAGAATCTCGGGTTTCACTATGAGGCGTCACAACTCTTCTGTAAGAAGACCCTTCGACTCTAAACCCAAAGTTCTAATAGTTCCTGTTTGGCAGTGTTTTTTACGTGGTGCAGTTGCTAACCCCCACTCCCAACCCTTCTCTTTTGTTCGAGCTTGTGATTTATAGAAACTCTAGGAGGACTACATGCGGAGTTCTTGTGTAAATTACTGGGATAAATTGGTTATGATAAATAGTCGTTCAATATCTTACACGTTTTATTGCCTACTATTCTATGCACAAGGGCGAATGTCAGTATTCCATAAATCAACTACATTTCACGGGAGATTTACAACATTCTCGATGCTGACGTTCTGCTACAGTTCGGATTCAACTGTTATGTAATTATTTATCTTGCAACACAACACACCATTTTTAAAAAATTTTATATAATATGTAATTTTATCATCTTAATGATGACTGAACTCTTGATAAATATAAACTTTCAGCTTGAGTATTATAGGAAGTTCGTACTTAAAATTCGTGTCAATATCTTATTTCAATATTGCAAATAAAAATCAGTATATTTTTTTCATTGAATACCATTGTTACCCGTACAACCTTATCTTTTATTGAATAAACTATGGGATAAGCATGTACATGTGCATTTCATAACAGTTGCCTTATCAAAAGTTTATTTATGTAAAAGGAAGTAGGTATGGATCAAACTTATAGTCTAAATCGTTTTTTCTCATTTGGTTCATTTGTAAAATTGACTTCAATATAATTTCCAAATGATTTTAATTTATGGTCTCTATTGCCCTCTCTTCATGTTTGCATTTCTTTTCTTTGTTCTGATATATATATATATATATATATATATATATATATATATATATATATATATATAATGTTTATTAAATACCCTTCTATGTGTTCCTTTCCGAATTAATCAAGGTTGGTTTATTTGGACCAATTGTGGAAAATGCTATTTTAACTGCAAATGTTCTACCAGGTCTAGTCCGTGCTACAGCTATTAATGCTAGTCGTGCTGTTCAAGCTACTAAACCGGGATATCGTCATCCGTATCCTTTCTTGATGATTTCGTAATTAATTATATAATTTTCAAGTCCCTTCTATCATTACGTTAAGGGTATTGTCTCCAAGTATATATTATGTTGTTTTCTTTATCCTTTGTTAGTCACTTATCAAAAACTTATTGCTGGGATCCAGTCGGTTAATGTCCCATTATCTCAGCTGTTTAATTGACTCCTTCATTTTTTTTCTCATCGCATCTGATACCACCAAATGACCCAGTCTCGAGTAGTCTATAAACTTCTTTATTAGAGATTTCTCGAAACCGTTTGTTTAAGATATAACTATTTAGGCCAAAAATTGATGTTATAAATTATCACTGTCAAAGGTGCACATATAACTTATATATGAACCCACCATTCGTCATCCAATTTCAAATAATTTGGTGCGGCAGTCATTTAATGCCGTAAATATGCACTACTAAGAAGTCCTATACTAGTCCATCTTAGTTTTCAATGATAAACAGTACTTACAATCGTAGCATATATATATATATATATATATATATATATATATATATATATATTGATCAGGATTGTTTATAGATACAATGCTTCTATCTTAACTCAGTAATTTTTCAATTTATTTCTTAAAAAAAAAACGAAGATATGAGGATCGTGCTTCAAGTCTACGGCAAATAATATCCAAGTATACTTTGTCAACATGCTTTGAAGAATACGCTGAATCGATACTTATGCCAAATTCAAAAAGTGGTAACGTTTTTTGTACTTTTATAATAAACACAGTAATTATCTTTTATTTCATTGCCTACGTGTCTTATGTTTCCATGGTAATCCATATTTCTGTATATGTATTGTTGAATTGTGTTTACTTCAATTGTTTCCTAAACATGTACGTTTTTATGTGTATGAGCCTATCCCTTTCTATATTAATAGATGTCCATATAAACATTTCTTCATATATAAGCTAACAATATTGTTCTTAATGAGATCTTCATCAGGCTTTATTCTAGTATACAATGATATTTACATGGATATATGAAAATATTAAACTAGTCTAGGCAGTTTATAGAGTTAGTGATAATAATGATATAAATTGCATTACTGTATAATATAGTATAAAGTGATGAGGATCTTATTAAATGTGACATTGCTTGCTTGTATATGTTCTAATTCACAATATAGGAATTCCTAATATTATACATTAGTTCAGCTGTAAAATTTGTTAATGGACAGTGTTTTAAATTTATCTGCTATAGCTACGTTGTCATAATCGTACGTTAAACTATACAGTAAATCTCACTAAGAAAAAGAAATCTTTATTATGGCTAATCAACATAATAGGTTTCTCATCTTATAGAAAATAGATATTTTATTTTTATTTGAGACTTTCTGAGGTTGTCAATGTTCTGCCAGTTAATTTTTTTAGAGCTTCTTTAGGTTTACATATGTTTTATCTTAATTTCTTAATGGTCCTATTTTTAGCACTAACAATTTACCACCAATTCAAAATACTCTTTAACATAAATCGATATCATCTAGGATACTTTGTAAAATTAGTTTTGAATTTTTCACATCCACGACTTCGTATAGCAATGAACCCAGTATTCCACCATATATATATATATATATATATATATATATATATATAATGGATGGCAGTAGAGTATATGATGCATGTTTCATCCTATCAGAAACTAATTCATCTGATAAATTTGTATCTCAATGCTAATGCATTAAAACTTATAATGAAATTCCCTGTCGAGGCAGGTAGGTTAAATTAAACATATGCTAACAAAAATCAATTATAATTTCATATTGAACGCCCTTATGAAAAGATAATTTTCCTTTTTACGTTTGATATACTTGTGGACTATTGTGTAGAACTGCTTGTAAATTAGTTTGCATTGATATTCCACAGGTCTTATTCCAACTGTAAACAATAACATGAAGGTATAGTTAATCTATTATACTAAAACTTATTTTCAAACGATAAAATCGGTATAAGATGAGTTTATGATAGGTGATTTTCACTGGGTTTATATAACGTTGGAATTTAGGACGCGCGTTTCGTCCTGTTTGGGACTCGTCAGCTGAATGTATTAACATTAAAACAATAAACATGGTTGTTTGTAACATGAAGCATGAAGTTTTTTATTAGTATATTTTTTAACACAGTCATAGTGAGGCTTCTCGTCGTCAGTTATTCACGTTTACTCAAAGGGTCATATCAAGAAAGCTATATTCATCGTTCCTAACTGTGTCAACTTGCTGAAATCAAATCATAAGTCACTTGAATAAATGTGTATATATAAACCTGATTCCGAATTAAATCATATAATATATGTAAGGATCTCCATGAAAAATAATATTGATTCCACTTGTATTTAACTATTGGTTACCGTGGAAGTAGAAAATCGTATTTTTTTTAGTCAAACTGATCAAATGATTTGTGTGGCGCATATATATTTGTTGCCTCTTTGTATCAATGTTTATGTGTTTAAATAAATAAAATTCTACAACGACAATCAGTATTTCTTGTTAATTTCATCTAATCATAATATTAACATTAATCCATTTTGTTTAATTCATACATTTGCTTTTAGTGGTATAAATTTTAATGCAACAACATCCTCTTTTCATCTGTTTACCCCATTAGTTGAAACCATTTAGCTTCATCCTATGTAAGAATTAAATTATTTGTGTATGCAACTCGTACAAGCTAGGTTTTTTTGCTTTATTTTAGTGTATGTTTAGACTTTTCATAAATTCTTGAATAGGTCGCTTCATTTATTTAAATAAATATCTGTTGATTGTTTGCCAACAGCGTGCATGTATTAATGATCATCATCTATTCCCTTCCATCAATATTGTTGTAATTATCAATTTTTTGTCTGTTCAAGCGTAAAACTATTGAATTTCTCTGCATATTTCAATTGCTTCTTATTGATCTGTAGGCTCAATTATGTCATTGGAACAAGTAATTACTCGCCTGCATGAGGAAATAAAACGTTAAACTCCTACTACCATAATTACTTCTATTCTAAGTAAATTTAGTGAGTGTGCACAATTTCGTATTCGTCAATGGTCTACTTATTCATCATTATGTAATGTAGCTGTAAACGTGGTCTCTGTTAGCTGTGTTATTCTGTTTATTTTTCCAACTACTTTTCACATATACTTGCATCTTGTTTATTTATCATGGGTTTGGTTAGTTTACACTTGTGTTTAGAAGCAATTTGGTCTTTTTTCTTACTGTTATGTTATAATTGCTACTATATTTGTGATTATTTCTGCTTTCATTTTGCTGTAAATTTGTGTTGTTTCTTGGTTTGTGTTTTTTTTGCATGTACTCTGTCGTTGTCGCCATCATCATCTTTGTTATTTTTATTGTTGTTTGTATTGTTTGCTTAGCTGTGTAATTTTGATGGTTTGAAATTGTTTAACTTTTTCCCAACTTATCAATTAAGTCGATCACATTGTTTTCACTCCTTTTCAGTGCACCGCAATCAATCAAATTTATCGTTCAATCGAGGTGTAGTCAATAAATCAGGCGGCGTAAAATTTTCTTCTGTTTCTCCCACTACACAAGAAACTTATCATAGTTATTCGCAAAACCGGCTTCTGATCTTGCTCCTAATGATATAACTAATAATAATAATGCTCTAAAATACACTGATGATGTTGCACAAACACCTAGTGTCCGACAGAGACAACAAACTGTTTCTTCATATCGTGCAACAAGTGCACATTCAAGAACATCATCAGTGACCCGTGCTAAAAGCATGTTTTCGCGGCATCATATTGATAATGTAAACACTAAACCTATTTCTGTCATTTCTCAACCTTCATTGAAAACCAATTCTGCAACACTTCATCACCATAACGAAACTCCCGATATGTATAAAGCAAATGTGTTTAATTCAGTACCTAGTCCACGATTGTTTCGAGGATTAAGATCTCGTCAACATAGTGGCTCTAATAAAATAAATTAAACAAAACATGTCCTTCATCATACAGCCTGTTTGTGACTTGTTTATCATATCAGCAAATTTTTATCGTTTTTTTATTTTTTATACTTTCTGATCACTTGTGTGTAACAACTATTAAAAGGACCTTTTCTTTTGTTTCATCACGTGAAAGATTTTACATTTGATGCTCTTTGTCACAGTTTTATGGTTTTCTTATTCTACGTACGATAGTTATCGACACTTACAATATTTGTAATGGTGTATATAATGTTGTTTTCTTTGAATTTTGTTTGACTTCGTGATTATTATCACTCACAATAATAGCTTCTACTACTGGGTTCTTTTTTATGAATCGGGAATGATCACAATATTTAACTTCTTTGAAGTAATGTATTTGAAGGTAAATAATAAAATAAGGGATGGTCTTTCTCGTACAGTCATGTTAGATATTTTGTGGAGGAGACGCGGAGAAGCTTAGACAACAAGAGCTGTCTACACAGACCTTCGTTAAATGTCTACTGACCAATGACCTCTCGCATATGTAGCAACGCTTCTATTGCTGAGTCATTTTACACCTCGATGTTGTGAAAAATGTGGTCCAACCTTTGTTGATCGGTTAGGTCTTTACGTTTAAGAACATCCTTTTTCATAAGATTCCGAAACATCACAAGTAAGCACACTAGGTGTGATGTACCTGTTAAAATTATGAGGTAGTGCTTTCACTACTGCGAGTAATTGTGCATGTGTATCTGTCACGTCGTGCTCGTGGAAGTCAGCTTCTGCGTAGCAAAACCAGGTTTCTATATTATCGAGTCAGAATGGTATGAGTTGAAAAGCGGAAGGCGAAAGGTGCCTGTTCCGTCATAGTGAAGATAAGATATACGAATGGGCGGAAATATAAAAACAATATCACGAATTGCAAAAATTAAAAAGTGATATATGATGTTGCAATAAGGAACATACTTTTCTTATTGATTGGTGTACCAGATCACGTCAGGCTGATTAAATCTGCCACAAGTGTTCGTAGTTTGAAGCCGCGTTTACACCTATCGCCTTTATAATCGAAGTGTACCGTCTAGTCAAAAATGAAGGGGTTCGAGGATACTTTTGGTAAGCTATCGATATTTTCGGTTTAAGCTGACTAGCGGTTGAAAGGGATGCATAGTACGGTGTACCCACTCGTGATCTGGTGCGGATACGTGACAGAGCGCCTTGAACTAGTGTGTGAATATTAAGACTAATGAGATCAGTGTCGAAGACGTACGGAACTACTTATTTCAGTGACTCATTTACCGATACAACTTTTAGTAGGTGACATTTGTTCAGACAGACTACGAAATTTAATGTTTATGTACTTGAAAAGTGTTAACTTGAGTAAATCGTTTCATTGAATTAGTGTAGATAGAAAATCTTGAATGATAAAACAGGTGAATTTCATATGTTCTGCTTTTCATTTAGAAGCAGATAGTCATAATCCTGAAGTTACTCGTAAAGAGATTTGAACTTGACGCCTGCAGTTGTTCTTCTTGCATCTCGGAGAAGTAATAATAACAAGATGTTCACATACCGTGGGACAACTTATTGTCGCGGAGTTGTATGTGTGCATTTCTGATTTAGTCATTAACTACAACATGCCACCAATAAACTTCATATTTAAAAACATTCCGTTTCAGTTTGGAAAGGACAGGAGATTGTGTGACCTGTGTTTTTCCTGGCAGTGGTAGTCCCTTGATCCGACTTCCTTTTTGAAAGCGCTGAGAAATGGAGCTTCAGTTAATTTATGATTCCATAGGAAAGTTGATGATCAGCTAACTGTAGAACTGCTTAAAACCATCTACATTCATATCTCATAAATTATCAACCCAGCTATGTAATTTACTACAGTGAATATTCTATCATTTGTATCAATTTGATCTTGCCTGTAAACTGGCATGCCTCATGTAACAAACTGTTATTTGAGAATAAACTATTATTATTATTATTACTTTAGACTGTGCTTTTAAAGTGTATAGGTAGTTCTTAAATGTCTATAGTTGCTTATTTGCTGTCACACAACCATGCAAACCTATCGCTTCACTTCTAGTTACACGACAATGTTGAGGTGTCAGGTCTATACTAACATTTATGCTTTTGGTGAATCTTCTGACTGAACGCTTGAATCGGTTTCCTAAGCCCTTATAATAACATCAGGCTAAATCTGCACAACTTTAACACGAGAGAAAAGGTGTGAGAAAATAGAAGAATCACTTTGCGTCAAGGTTAGTTTATGTACAAAAAATCGGGGTATTTGTAGCATTTAAAATGGTTTTGAGCTTCTAAAAGGTTATGGAACCCTACCAAATACAGTAGCAGGATAGATATTCACTCAATCAGAAATGTGGAACCTAACTCTTCACATTCTGGATGTTTCTAAATAACTTACATTCAGTGCCTACTGGATAAAGTGCTTCCCAGCGTTTCCATTGACTCACTAAAGTGTTTTAGAGGAACCTCCAGCATTTTTCATATGGAATTAATGAGCTATTATGGTGAGACTATAATTTATGGACGATCTTTGAGCGACGCTGAAGTGACCTTGAGGGTGAACAACTACTAATTAGAATTAAATGAGGGTTATAAAGCAGTTAGAATTCTCATTTACAGTTGTTGGTTAGGGTTAAAAATTAGATTTAGTGTTTTCATCACGAACTGACATCAGCTATAATGCCAAAACTCTATTTAGCCAAATGTATGGATGAATTCCGTGCCCAAATTCGTGACTTGTTATCTTATATCTGATTGGTTCAGTTTCAGTTTCAGTTTGGGAAGGACAGGAGGCTCGATAGCCTATGTTAGTCCTGGCAATGGTGGTCTCTCAGTTGATCCAACTTTCTTTTGAAAGAGTCGACGGATGGAGCCTCAACCACGTGCTGAGGTAGTGAATTCCACTCGTTGATGATTCGATGGGAAAGTCGATAGTCAGCTGACAAGTAATTTGTTCTCGGCTTGTGAACTTTTTTGGAGTGTCCTCGTAAATTCTCTGTTTTGGAAGACAAGAAAAATGAGGGCATGTTAGGTGCAAATTTATCACTAAGCAATTTGTAGACTGTAATCAAGTCGCCTCTAGTTCTGCGATATGACAACGGGAAAAGGTTCAGCTTGGCCAGTCGAGATTCATACGGAAGCTTCGCTATTCCGGGAACCAGCTTAGTCGCCGTTCTCTGAACCTTTTCCAGAAGCTCACTGTCTTTTTTAAGCAGGGGCTAGCCGCTTGTATGCAGTACTCAAGTTTAGGACGAACGAACACTGTATACAAAGTCAAAAACGTCTTAGCGTCGACATGACTAAAAGCCCTACGTATTGACCATAACGTTCTAAAACTTTTGGCGGCTATTGCACGGCAGTGTGCAGTAGTCTTTAAGTCTTGACTAACGATAACTCCTAAGTCATTATATGTCTGGACGACAGGTAGCTCAGTGTTATTCATCGTGTATGTATCTGTGCCTTGATGACCGATATGCATCACAACACACTTGGAAGTATTTATCGGCAACTGCCATGTTTGAGACCATTCAGATAACTTCTTCAGGTCATTTTGAAGTTCTAAGCTATCACTCTTACATCGTATCGTTTTCCATATCTTGACATCGTCAGCATATAGCAAGACCGATGATGATAGGAGACAAGGAAGGTCATTTACATACAAGAGGAATAGCACTGGCCCCAAAACTGTACCCTGGGGCACTCCACTAAGCACAGTTTCCCAGCTAGATAACTTTGAGTTCACCCTTACTCTTTGTTGACGCCCAACTAAGAAGTCTTTTATCCACATCAATAAATTGCCTCCAATCCCGACTTTTCTTAACTTATATAACAGCCGGTTGTGCGGAACTTTATCAAAAGCTTTACTGAAATCAATGAAGGCGACGTCTACAGGTAGCTTTTGGTCCTTAAGAGCGCACCAGCTTTCACGAGCCACTAATAAGTTAGTGAGACAAGAATAACCTATTCTGAAGCCGTGCTGCTTCTCCGAGAGGATCCGGTTTTTATCGAGATACTTAAACAGCTCCTTCCGAATAATCTTTTCTAAGATTTTAACAACCACACTAGTTAGGCTAACGGGGCGGTAGTTCTCAGGTTTGTGTTTCGTGCCTGTTTTGAAGACAGGACTTACTATGGCGTTTTTCCAATCTTTCGGTAAGCGACCCTGCGTAACGGATAGGTTAAAGCATGTACTTAAAGGGCTTGCAACGAAGTTAGATAATTCCTTCAGTAGCCTAGGATGTAATTCATCGGGCCCCGTGGATTTACCTATGTCAAGCTTATTTAGCAGACCAAAGACATCGAGTTCTTTAATGGTCACGCTATCCAGTGTATGTATGGGGGGATCTGTATACGCTGACGAGAAGGGCGCTTCTATGGTATACACGTTGCTAAAGTAGTTCGAGAACGCTTGAGCCTTACCAAAGTCGTCCTCCACTAATGATGAAGCAGTACTGTCTCCCCATAGAGCAGGAATATTTCCTTTTCTCCTTGTCCTTTGGTTTATATAGGAATACAAGCGTTTAGGACATTCTATGGATTCCTTAACAAGTTTTTCTTCGTACAATTTTCTAGACTTACGGAGGGTCGAGGCACAAGTGTTCCGAGCCTTTCGATACTGAGATTTTGACTCATCAGTCCCCAGTAACCTAAATCTATCCCACTTTTTCCTTTTCTTACGGAGAAGGATACGGACCTCCCTACTGAACCATGGTGGTGAGTTTTTCGGCCCCTTTGGTATAGTCCAAGGGATGTGAGGTGTGGTAACTTTTAAGTATGAATTTCGAAATGCGTCCCAGGCCGTTTCAATGGAGGACTCTGGGTCTATTGTCCAATCTATTAACGATGCTGAGTGCATGATGTCTGGTATGTTTGCTTTCCAGACGTTGGGTCTGGACTGGACTGACGCGTCCTCATGACTGGCAGTTATATGGAAGTCGAAAGTTAAAACTGCGTGGTCACTTTTACCTAAGGGTGGCATATGATGGAGGTTCGCAACATCA